ACACACTCCCATGGACACACACACACACACACCCACGGACACTTACACATGTGCACATGTACACATACCCACGGACACACACATACACACACACACCCCCAATGTGGCAGCAAAGCCCACCGCCGCCAGGATTCTCAGCGGTCCTGGTCTCTGCCCCTCCTTCAAGTCTGACGCTCTGCCTTGCCCCCCACAACAGACCCCTCCAAGCCATCTGGGATGTTCAAGCCTCACCCCCACCCCCACCCTGCAGCCTTGACCTCCAGCCCAGGACCCCCGCCCCAAGCAGGGACGCGGCAAAAGAGACTCCCTAGTAGAAGACGCGTGTGAGGAGGAGCCCTGGAAGGGGGGGCGGGAACTCCTTCCTGTCTGGTGGGGAGGGAGGGACGGGGACTAGCTGGAAGGCGGGGCCTCTGCAGCCAGCGTCCCCACCGCCACACAAGCCCACACGAGCCCACGTGAGCTGGATGGATCCTAGGCAGGCGGCACCAAGTGCTCCTCACCCTCTCAGCTGCTCTGCATGACCGGAAGTCTTTCATTTTTTTTTTTAAAGATTTATTTATTTGAAAGGCAGGGTTATAGAGAGGCAGAGGCAGAGAGAGAGGTCTTCCATCTGCTGGTTCACGGCCCAGATGGCCGCAACGGCCGGAGCTGGGCTGATCTGAAGCCAGGAGCCAGGAGCTTCCTCCTGGTCTCCCGTGCAGGTGCAGGGCCCAAGCACTTGGGCCATCCTCCACTGCCTTCCCAGGCCACAGCAGAGAGCTGGACTGGAAGAGGGGCAGCCAGGACTCGAACCAGTGCCCATATGGGATGCCGGTGCTGCAGGCGGCCGCTTTACTTCCTACACCATGGCCAGCCCCACAACCGGAGGTCTTACAAGACAGACTTCAATTCAGGTCAGTCATCCAGAAGGCGCCGACTGGGGCGGGCATCTGGTGCGGCAGTGAAGTCACCACGGGGGATGCCCCCTCCCATCTCGGCGCCCGGTCCAAGTCCCAGCTCCTCCCCTTCCAGCCCAGCTTCCTGCTCAAGCTCCAGCACCGGGGCCTGCACCCACGTGGGAGACCTGGACGGAGGCCTGGCCCAGCCCCGGCTGTTGCGGGCATCTGGGGAGTGAACCAGCAGGTGGAAGCTCTCCCTCTTTGTCACAAATAAAAATTTTAAAAACACATTTGTTTGTTGAGAAGAAACCAAGTGCCCCTCTGTGACCCCAGCACGAATGTGAATGTTTCCGGGGATCCGATCCCTATCTCTACCCCTTGCCTGTGACACTGTCCCCTGTGGCCCAAGCTGGCTCCAACCACAGGGCCTTTGCACCTGCTTGCTCCTCGGCCTGCCGCCCTGCCCATCACCTGACCCTGAGAGCCGGCCCTGCCCGGCTCCCCCACCCAGCAGCACCTGCCAGGCACAAGGCAGGTCCTCAATGACTATTTCTTAACTGTGTTTCTTAACTCCACGAGCCCGTCACCAGCCCCAGGGCCTCTGGTCACCACTATCATCTGCTCAACCTGGGGGCCCCGGGTGCTGCCGCCCAGCTGCGAGGCCCCGGCACGCAGTGGGAAGCTTCCCATCCCTCAACGCCCCCTCTCTGCAGCAGGGACCTCCTGCCCAGCCCTGCTCTGCTGTGCCCCAGCCCCACCCTGCTGTGCCCCAGCCCCGCCCTGCTGTGCCCCATGTGCCCTGCCCTGCTGCACCCCAGCCCCGCCCTGCTGCGCCCCAGCCCTGCCCTGCTGCGCCCCATGTGCCCTGTCCTGCTGCACCCCATGTGCCCTGCTGTACCCCATGTGCCCTGCCCTGCTGCGCCCCAGCCCCGCCCTGCTGTACCCCATGTGCCCTGCCCTGCTGTGCCCCAGCCCCGCCCTGCTGCGCCCCAGCCCTGCCCTGCTACGCCCCATGTGCCCTGCCCTGCTGTGCCCCATGTGCCCTGTCCTGCACCTCATGTGCCCTAGCCCCGCCCTGCTGTGCCCCAGCCCCGCCCTGCTGTGCCCCATGTGCCCTGTCCTGCGCCTCATGTGCCCTAGCCCCACCCTGCTGTGCCCCATGTGCCCTGTCCTGTGCCTCATGTGCCCTAGCCCCGCCCTGCTGTGCCCCAGCCCCGCCCTGCTGTGCCCCATGTGCCCTGTCCTGCGCCTCATGTGCCCTAGCCCCGCCCTGCTGTGCCCCATGTGCCGTGCTCCCGGCTGCCCTACAGCAGCCCTGCACTCCTTAGCAACCACGCGCTCTGCCCCAAGCCCACGGATGGGAAGGGCCTCTGCGCGAGCTCAGAGCACGGGCTCGGGAGGCTGGGGGCCTGGGTTCCGATCCTGACCCCACCACTTCCCAGCAGTGACCTGGGCTGTCACATAAGCTCTCTGTGCCTCAGTTTCCTCGACTGAACGGCCACTCACAGGGCCACCCGCACAGAAACGCTCAGAGGGAGCACGGGGGGCACCCAGCCGTGAGCTCCTACTGCGCACGTTCGAGTCCTTGCAGCCTCAGCAAGGGCCTGGCACACAGCAGGCGCCCAATGACTGCACAGCGTGGACAGGGCCTGAGCCTCAGCAACGGTCCTGCACACAGCAGGCGCCCAATGACTGCACGGCGTGGACAGGGCCTGAGCCTCAGCAAGGGCCTGGCACACAGCAGGCGCCCAATGACTGCACGGCGTGGACAGGGCCTGAGCCTCAGCAAGGGCCTTGTACACATCAGGCGCCCAATGACTGCACGGCGTGGACAGGGCCTGAGCCTCAGCAACGGTCCTACACACAGCAGGCGCCCAATGACTGCACAGCGTGGACAGGGCCTGAGCCTCAGCAAGGGCCTGGCGTACAGTAGGTGCCTAGTGACTGCAAGCAAATGTGCCCATTTCTGGGCAATCAGCACTTAGCCATCGCCTACTGTGTACCAGCAAGGTCCGTGCTCAGGACACACCAAGCAGGACCACCTCGGAGCCCCCGTCCCCCTAGCAGAGCCAAGCAAGGGCCGGGGCCTCCCCCGAGAGAAGCCCACATCTGTCCACAGAAACCTCTGGTGGCTCGGGCCTCGCCCGCGCCTACCCGAGGCCGAGATGGGCTGAACACAGCCAGGGTTCCCTGCAGGGCCCCCGGATGGGCAGCTGCCCCTGCCCTGGGGGCCGGTGTGAGGATGGGCGGCTATCTCTGGATCTAGTGGACACACACCTGCCCCAGAATCCCATGCATGTCCTCACACACGGGCTGGGCACAGCAGAGACGGGAGGACCTGAGCGAGCCACGCCTGAGCCCCGCCCCCCGGCCACTGTCCCCTCCCTGTCTGAGCCCGCTCCTGCTTCCCTGGCAGCGGAAGGCACCCCTTCTCCCACGAGTGAATGATGCACACGGCTCCCCAACCGCACTACACCTGCGGGCTGAGACACAGGACACGGGCACCATTTCCTGCTGGGACGCAGGCTCCGCCCGCCGACGCAGGCCAACGGGCCTCCTGGCTGCTCTCCATCTTCCTGGTCCACAAACGGAGCTCTCTGGGGCCCTGCCGCCTGGCTCACAGCCCCATGCCCCCTCGAAGCCCCTGCCAGTCCTCTGGCCCGTGCCCCCAGGCCTTCAGACCACGCGTGCTTTCCTCTGCTCCAACTGGAAAGGAGATGCTGGGCCCCCCACCCAGACCTCGCCGTGACAGCCTGCGCCATGCTGGCCTGGGGCAAACGTGGCCTCCATTCTGTCTCTGGACCTCCCGGGGACCCAGCCGCAGAGGGGCTGAGCAGCGAGTCCTGGGAGCCCCGACGTACCCATTGCTTCCGCGCGTGGTTCCTCCTTTTGAAGTACAGGATTAGCTTCTTCCGCATGGCCTGGTTTCTGCAGCAGAGCAGAGCAGAGGGCGGGTCAGCACCGCGCAGGGGCCAGCTCCCGCCGCCCCGGCTCTCCCTGTCCCTGCCCTCACTCTCCCTGCGTTCACCCCGCTACTGCTTCTCTGTGACCCACACCCTGCTGCCGTGCCTCCTCTGGCCCCCCAACATGTAGGCTGGGACCTTGGAAGCGCCGAGGGGCCTGTGGCTGCTGCCCCCGCCCAGCCCCCACGTGCACCCATACCCCATCCGTGTTACACGTCAGTGGCTGGGGGAGATGGCCACGCAGAAACACCTCAGCCTCAGGCCAGGAAAGCAGGTCTGAGCCCATGGTCCCGGTCCTGCACTGCGCAGAGCCAGGGTCTCAGGGCTGCGCGGGCGCCGTGAGAGCCACACGGTCAATCACGGGTCCACACACGGCGCCGGGGCAGTGGGCTCTCCGGGGGAAGACACGGGCACTCCGAGAGGGGCAGCATCGCAGGGAGGGGCAGAGAGGCCCAGGAGGCCGAAGGTGAGGGACACATGAGCCTGGGGAGGGACAGGGTCCAGAGGGAGGTGGCTCGAGACCCAGGGGCAGGAGAGCCGGGGCAGAGAGGCCACGGGGCCACCCCAGTCCCTCCCCCCCGACACAAAGCAGGGCCGCGACAGGCGTCCTGGGGCCTGCGCCCACCATCTGGGGCCTGCAGTGCCATCAGCTCCCGGCTCCCCCATTGCCAGTGCCCCAAACCCACAGAAAGCACGAAAATCGGGAGCCGGGAGCCACAGCCGCGCTGTGCGGGCTGCGGGCTCAGATCAGCAGCAGCGCCCTGGGCCTCCCCTTGCCCGGGGGCCCCCACCTTGAGGCTCTGCCACTCACATCAGCACGCGGCCAGCACAGCTGAGGGCCTGGGTCACGCAGGCGGGGCCCGGACCCCCGTGCTCCACAGAACGGCGTCTCCGAGCAAATCTCAGCTCTCCACGCCTCAGTTCCCCATCCAAAAAACCCACATCGTCACCCACTCGTCTCTGCCACTCAGGCCCTGGGTGCTGAGCTGGGCGCTGCGCTGGGGACACACCAGGGGCCGGACAGACCAAGCCCTGGCCCTCAGGGAGGCGCTGCTCACAGGGGCCATGCTGGCCATCGGCAACAGCTCTGGGTGCAGGGACCCAACTAGGGGTGTAGGGGAGAGAGACAGGGGAAGGAAAGAGGCTGGAGTTAGGGGAGGGGTGGGCTGGAGAAACTGGGGAGGGGGAAAGGCTGGAGAAAGCAAGGGGTGGTGGGCTGCAGAGACCAGGGGGTGGGCTGGAGAGACAGGGAGAGGGATGGAGAGATGGGGGCATGCTGCAGAGACCAGCGGTGGTGGGGGGAGGCTGGAAGATGGGGTGCCTAGAGAGACGGGGAGAACATTGGGTTGGGGAGCCTGGGGGAGGGGTGGAGAATCGAGCAGGGTGGGCTGCAGAGTGCCCAGCACTGGGGTCAGGTGCCGGGGCCTCCAGGAGACAGCCGGGAGCTGAGCTCCAGGACCCCAGGAGGGCCGCAGGGAGGGACCTGGATGCAGAGGGCGGCACAGCAAGTGCAAAGGCCCTGCGGCGGGACGGGCTCAGCACAGCTGCCAGGCAGACGTGCACACGCTGGCTCCACAAGCCACGTCAGCGAGGCCGACTGGGCAGGGCGGTGAGCGTGGACGCAGGACAGGGTTTGGACTTTCATGCAAAAGACAGGGAGCCGAGAGGGTGCAGATGCGGCGCTGGCAGCAGCGTGAGCGCGCTGGCTCGGCTCTCCACCGCGAGGTCTCCGTTTCTATGGCGGACTCCTGGACCCGGCCAGCAGCCCGCACGAGGAGCCCAGAGCCTCTCCAAGTAAAGAGCTGGAGAAACGCGGGGAGGCAAACACAGCCAAGGGACAGGAGCCGACCTGCAGCGCGCGCCTGTCGAGCTGGGACGGCCTGGGAGGCAGGATGGACGGCGCTCGTCCCGGATCGCGGACCAGAGTAACACGAGGCGCGCGTCCACGCTGATGTAAACAAACGACTGCACAAATCAATGGGGGAGGGGAAACGTCCCCCCAGGCCCAACGAAGAGATGCCCAGGGAACCCGGAGAGAAACCGCGGCTGCCGTGGCCGGGCCGCGCGCCGAGGGCGGCCGTGGAGATTGTAAGGAGACGGGGAGGCCGCACGGCCTCCAGGTACCTGACAGCACCCGAGTCACGGGGGCAGGGGAGGCGGCCCCAGCACAGCCTGCAAAGGGCTCCCCTCGGGCCTCCAGGAGGCTCAGTTCCGCTCTCCCCGCACCAGGGCCAGGGCCCAGGAGGGGTCCCCGGCAGACACAGCCACAGCCAGCGACTGGGTGGATGGCGCCATGCCCCAGGTACAGCCTTCTTCCCCAACGCCCCCACACACCCACCCCATCTCGCTGCACAAAACACCACCAGACCTCCGGGGCGGCCCCCAACAAGACCCTGACCAGCCTGACCCCACTCGAAATCCTGACAAACAAGACACGGCCACAGGCCAGGACACAGGGACTCGGCGCCACGTGGGAACCCAGGTGGCATCTTGGCTCGGGGAGCGGATGTTAGCAGAAAGCCTGGCAAACGCCAAGCACGCCTGCGGTTGGGCTGCTGTGTCGGGGGCGTCTCCTGGGCACGTAGGACGGCCGCAGGCTCCGCGGGAGTTTGCTGCACTCCGTTTGCAGCTCTCCAGACGTGCAGGGCAGAAACCCAAAACGCACGGTGAGGACAGATGCCATTCACTTCCGATGCCGCGGGCTCCTGCCGCCTACCCCACTAGGACTCACGTCACCCCCGGCCGCTCCAGGCGGGAGCTCACTGGGAAACAGGACCTTCAGCAAGGCAAGCGAGACAAGGCGGGCACGGGGACCTACAGAGGGGAAACCTCTGTAGGGTGGGCACTGGAGTCCGCCCTCGTCCCCGCTGGGAGGCGGCAGGTGACGGCTCGCATGCTTGGGCCCCGCCGCCCACAAGGATGGCCTTCCAGGCTCCTGGTTCTGCCGGGCCCAGCCTGGCTGTGGCAGGCATTTGGGGAGAGAACCAGTAGATGGAAGATCTATTTCTGTCTCTGTCTCTGCCTGCTTTCCAATTAAAAGGAAACACATAAAGAATTTTATCTAAAAAAAAAAATCTAGAAGGGAAATCTGGGGCACAGACTGGTGAGGACGGCGCCATGGGAAGTGGGGGGCGATGGGGACAGTGAGGCCGCGGCAATACGCGGACCGCCAGGAAAGCCGTGGACCCCGAGGCAGGTGAGCAGGGAGCGCCCTGGGGCCTGCCCAGCCCGGAATCCTGGCCCCGACCATCCGAGGACGCTGGGTCACCCAGTGTATGGCACGGGCAGCAGCCCCAGGAACGGCCCGGCACCTCAGTCTTCCACAAAAGGCCCACGCGGTCCGGCACCCACACAGTCCTGCCCGTGGCAGCCACTCACTGCCACGGGCAGCAACCACAGGGCGCAGATTCTCCCCGGCTGATCCGAGCTTCCTTCCAGAGCGAGCACGGTGCCTGGCACCCGGAGACCGCCTGCCACTGCCAAAGGGGACAGATGTCAGGTCCGCAGGCTGCAGCTGGCACCGGGCGCCGGCGCTGGCCAGCACCAGTGTTTGGACTGCAGTGCTTTCTAGAAAACCTGTACCCTTTGCCAGCACTTAAAGCCCAACTCCAGACTTCTCTCAAAACACCAGACGATCGGCCACCCCCTTCAGGGCCACAGGCTGGGATCTGAGGTCTGGACCACCCCCCAAGGGCCTGAGCTCTCGGTCACCACAGTCCCCACCACTCCCTACTCCAGCCCCTCGCTAACTTTCCTCCCCGCCCCTGGCGGCGTCCATCTGGGTCTGCAGCGCCCTCGACTCCTGGCTGAGGTCCGCTTGTTTAACATTCTCCTGGCAAACACTTTTGAGTGTTTATTTTGTTCCAAGCAGCGTTCTGGCAACAGAGATGCAAACAGCTTATTGTGGACGATATTCTGGCCGAGCTTTCTGTCCAGAAGTGTCGGCGAGGGCCCGGCAGGGGCCGGCAGAGCAGCAGTGGGAGGCACCGGGCGAGCGCGTGCACGGGGCGCTCCGGGGTCCTGCAGAACCAGGCTGTGACACAGCGCCTCCTGGCGGGATGCGCCGTCTTGCCATCCACACTGGGGCAGGACGAGGGGACAAGGACAGGAGCAGGTCCGCTGGGCCGGGGCGGGCTCTGTGACCCTGGGGAAGCGCCCTGGTGCCGCGGACCTCCTAGGCAGCACACAGGGGACCTGTGGACCACGGGCCCGGGTCCTGACTGGCCGCCGGCCGCCGGCCCACAGGAGTGCAGGGCTGGGCCTGGCCAGGGAGGCTGAGCTTATGGCCAGAACTGGCAGTGGCCCCAGGCCTGAGCCCCGGCCCCCTTCACGGGATCATGTTTGGGCTGCACAGGGCGCCGGGTGGGGGCCCACACCCGTCCCTCCCCGGGGCCCCGCAGCAGGTGCCCACACAGCGAGAGCCCAGGCGCCGGCAGCGAGCACAGGTGACTCCCACATGTCCTGCCACCCGCCACCCGCACCGCAGGAAGCCAGGCGTGAAATTAACTTTAGCTCCAGGGCCTGCGCGCAGACACAGAGAAATTAAAGTGACAGGCGAAGTCCCGGGGGAGGGACCACCCCCACCTCAGCGCAATCACAGCAGTGGCAGCAGAGCCCACGGAGCAGCCCGGGGACGCGAGCCGCCGACCCTGTCACAGCTGTCACACCGCACAGGCCACATGGTGTCCCCCACACACGGAGACATCAGGACAGCGCCGGCAGGCACAGACCTCATAAATACCTGTGGGACCACCGGCTCTGCAGCCCTGTGGGTCCCATCCCTTAGCCGCAAAGCCATGCGCACCTGCTCTGGGCCGGCCCCGGGCTCGGCACACGGGGGCAGACGGTGACTGCCAAATCCCCACGTACGCATTTCACACACTGGGACACTGGGAGCAAGCGACCTCCTACAAGGACTTGGGCAGAGCGATTCCAGGGCCACAACACAGTCTCGAAGACCAGAGCCCTCTGAGCCCAGCCCCAGGCCTCGCTGCCCCCGGCCCCAGCAGCGGCCACACTGGGGTGGCATGAATGGGGCATCCCCCACACACTTCAGAGACGTCTTCAGGCACCCAGCCTCCGGCCGCTCGCAACCCTGGCTGGTGTCCCCCAACCTGGCTGCCCTCGTCTTGGCTCCCCCCTCCCACAAAGCGACCCTGACCTCCTGGTCCTCCCGGCCCTCGCCCTCCACACCTCACCCCCAGCAGCTCCTGCAGGGCCCTCCCCATAGCCCCTGCCCAGGTCCTCTCCCCGGGTGGCCGCTTGCGCCACCGCCTGCTGGAACAAGCCTCCCTCCCGGCCTCCGCGGCACAGCTAACTCACAATCCCAGCCTTCTAGCTGGTCCACGAGGTCCAGCCCACCCCGCCCTGGCCACACAGCCCCAGGCCTTCTGCACAGCCCGTTCCACCTGCTAGGCCGCGGCTGCCCTAGAGGCCCACACGGCTGCCGCTGCTCGGCCCGAGACTCCCCTCAGCCGCCCCTGCGCCGTCCCCACGCCTCGTGGAGACTTTGCAAGCGACTGAGCTGAGGACGACCACGCTGCCCCTCACGCCGAGGACCGGGCAGTTCAAGACACTCCCTTAGAGGTGTGCTGCTCCCCCACGCACTGGCCCACTTGCCGCAGAGCGAGCCGGGCTTACCCTAGGACACGACTCCTGGGATCCAGCACGGGGCAAACACCCCTCTGCGGGGAGGATTATGGGACGCAAGTGGTTCTGTGCTACCCCACCCAAGTCTGGTCCCATCTGCTGGACCCGCTGTCACCCATGTGGGTGTCTTACTCCACTCTCACTTGGACTCCGTGCTGTCTTATTTCTAGAGATCACTCACATTATTCCATTGAAAACACCACTCCCTTAAAGTGCTAGAACCCGCCTAGGATGTCGGGGGAGGGGCTGACGTGGACAGCATCCCACACAGGCCTCCCGCCCCATACCTGAGACCCCTTCCTGGCCGCAGCTGAGAACGGCAGTGCCACTGACCCCACAAGGCCTCTGTGGCAGGGGCTCGGGGCCCAAAAGCCCCTAGGCCAGTCTCCAGGTTGCCCTGGCCATCGCTGGGAGTGTGGCTGGGCCGGTCACCCACGCCTGTAGGGTCGGGTCACTCCCACTACAGCCCTGGGCCCTCACGGGGGGTTGGGAGCATGCACAGCAGCTGGGATCACCAGGCGGGCTGCACCGACCACTGACCACTGACCACCAAGCACTGCTCTTCCAGGAGCAGGCGAACGCCTGTGCCCTCAGTGACCGGCCCGGGACACTCGGACGGCGAACCAGCCTGGCTCCCGCTCACCTCCGCCCCGTGCACAGCCACGTGCTCCTCACGGGCCAACGTAGCCCCTCTGACCGCAGCTTCCTGTCTGACCACATGACGTCACACCCCTTCCACAGCCGAGCAGACCGCGCCCACTAATGCATCCCCGGAGAACACCAGCCCACTCCCGGCACCCCCCCACCCCCGCAGCGCCCCGTGCCTAGCACAGCCCTGGTGCCGGCCGCGGCACTTACCTCTCCTTCCCCTCCCAGTATCCGCGCGATGGGGACTCTTGTCCCTGGGATACATCGGCCTCTGGGCCTGTGTCAGGGCTGCTAGCTGCCCCAGCAGGGCTGTGTCCCCGTGTAGGTGTCCATGGGACCCCAGCACCTTGGCTGGCTCCCGTCCACCCGGTCGGGACGCGGATGCCCACGCTCCACCTCCCCAGCGCAATGTCTGTCTCCTGAAGCCTCACGGGACCACTCGCACCCCTGCACCCCTGCACCCGGTCTGCGGAGCCCCATCCCAGACCCTGCCTGGCCCAGAGCTCCCGCCCCACCCCCCAGCCCCACGGCGCCGCCAGCACTCACATTTTGATGTTCTCATGGTACTGCCGGGTGTCGGAGGGCTGGTTGTACAGTGGCTGCAGGGCGAGACAGAGAGGCATGTCAGAGCGGGCGGGAGCGTGGGCAGGGGCCAGGCAGCCCCAGCTGCGGGGCTCAAGGCCCAGGCACCAGGGCACATCTGCGGGGCTGAGCGTCGGGCTGCCCGCCAACCTCTGTGAGCAGGAACACGGGGCATTGTGTGGGCGCCGCCATGGTGGCTGCCCTGCGGGGTGCTGGGCAGTGCTGGCCTGGAAAGAGCCGCAGCCCACACTTCCCCCGGGGTCAACCCCAGCCACCGGATCTGTCTCGAGGCACCATGGAGACCCCCTGCCCTGCCCAAACCCTGTGAGGTGTGGCTGCACCCTCCTGCCCAGCGAAGATGAAGTCCAGAACCCGGCCACGTCTGGGGAGCCCAGAGCCACAGTGGGAGGGGCCTGCACCCTCACCTGGCCCCCACACACGCCCCGGGCACCACAGGAGACAGGAGCCAGCTGGACACCCCTGCCACAGGCACCACTAAGGGCCTGGAGCTCGTCCTGGCTCACAGCTGCAACACCACGAGGACCGGGCTGGACAGCAGCATGAGGGCCGGAGTGAGTTCCCCAGGGCCTCAAAGCCACGGGCTGTGAGCAGGGACCCAGCACAGCAGTTGGCCAAACGCTGGCCCCACCACTTTCTAGCTGAGGGTGCCCACATCCACAGAGCTGCGCTCCGGCACGCCACCCACGTCCACCCACTCCCTGGCCGGGGCTTCGAGTCCTGCCTTTCTGCTTCTCCCCGCCAAGCTAGAGCCACCATGGGGCCCAGCGCAGCGGCCACCTTGAGGCCAGCAGTGAGGCCAGGTGTGCTGAGCTGTGTCCACAGAGTCACTCAGCCGGAGTCCACGCAGGGGAGGGAGCAAACGTGGCTGCTGCCCCGTGACACAACAGGAGCCCTGGCTCAAGGGTCATCCACTGCCCAGGTGGGGAGTTAACTCATGGCCCAGGCTGCAAGACCCGAGCTCGAGGGCGGGTCCCCTCTCAACCCCAGCGCCGGCGGGGGGGCGGATGGTACACTCTCTCGCCCACGCACGCTGCAGCGGCGCGGTGGACAGGTACAGGGTGTGGGAGCTCGAGAACGGGAAAGAGCGACGCAGCGTCCTGGGCCTCTGGGCAGGGCCGAGAAGGGACACAGGAGGCCCACCCTGGAGCCTTTCCCCGCCGCTCGGCCAGGGCCACCCGGGCACTGGGACCCCAGGCCCCACCCCTTCCCAGCCCCACACCCAGTCCTGGTCCTCCATGGGCAGGTGGGCCTCGGCAGCCGTGGATGGTGATGGTGAGGTCCCCACCTCGTGACTGACCGCTGAGCTCCGGGCCCAGCTCCTCTCTCGAGCCGACGTCACCCAGTGCTGCCAGGGAGGGATTCTCCCCGCACTGGGTCATGCTGCCCGCCCCAGGTGCTCGGCCGAAGTGGGGCAAGGATTGCCCACCCCCACCGTGGGGCTGAACAGGAAAGGAGAAGTGAAAGTGGAGAGCAGAGAGCCTGTGGTCAGACCCAGGGCACGGCCCCCGGGGAGACACCGCTGCAGGGGGCTGCTGGCCCCTGAGGGCTGACGTCCAGCCTCAGGAGCCCCAGGGCCCTGGGAAGATGCCCAGCCCCCACCCTGGCTGACTCAGGCCAGCAGAACAAAGACCCGGCCCCAAGCGCGGCACAGCCGAGCCCTGGTTCACAGGCCAGGTCCGACAAGGGCCTCCAAGCCCAGGGCCTCAGTGTCCTCATCTGGAAAAGGGGCACAGGCCAGAGCACCTGCCTTGCTGAGTCACCCAGAAACTCAGACTTGGTAGTGACTTGGCCTTGTTTGGGTTTTAAAGAGTTCGAGTTGGCCGCAGGAGCCAGGACAGGGTGGAAAGACCTCGGCGGGCTGGGCAGGGGGCCCGGGCTTCCATTGCATAGGAAGGGCCAGAGAAAGGAGACCCAGGGCTTCCAGGCAGCCAGCAGGGTCCTGATGGAGCAAGCGGCCCCTCGCAGTGGCTCAAGGGGAAGACCCGGGAGCACCCTGCAGGTGCACGGCCCCTCCCCCAGGCAAGCCAGGCTGGGGCCCCACCGAGCCCAGATGCTCTGCTCCATCCTGGACACGGCCCCCAAAGCAGCCAGGGCATGGAGAGGGGCAGTGACTCAACTCCAGCAGGCACAGTGTGGCCAGGGGGTGGGACCAGGGCCCACACGGTCCCCCAGCCCCACCTCGCCCTCTGCACAGGGCTGCACGGAGGCTAGGCAGCTCCCCGGGCCAAGGGCTGCATTGGCACCAGGGGCAGGAGCCAACACCGTGGCCGCAAGGCCACTCTGAGCCCCCTCCTGAGTGGGGCTGCCCTGGGGACGGGGAGGCCCCGGGCTGTCCCTGGCCCTCTCTGAGGGCACACCGAGGGCACTGGCGGCGTGCAGCCCGGGGCAGGGGCAGGCCCCGCCGTGACTCAGGCGGGGAGCGCCATGGCCCTGACCTCCAGCCAGCCGCGGTGACGGAGAGAGCCGGCAGGGCCAGGTGGACGGCGGGCAGCAACAGAGGCGTCAGCCCCGGCCTCAACCCCGCAGTGACACCACATGCTTAAAATAACTCCTCCGCACAGGAAGGAAGCGGATGACTCAAAGCAGAGGGGCCGGCCGCTCTGAGCACACCCTCCGCCCACCCCAGCTGCAGCAGGGACCGAGGGGTGGCCGGCAGAGTCGGGGCTGCACGGGGGCGGGGCCTCCCCATGGCCCTGGCTGCCGCCGCCCCTGCGGTACAAATTCCACCGAAGCTCTCACACAGGGACTGCGCCCGTGGGCAGGAGCCGGGGGGGCCCCAGGAAGCCTCGCCTTGGCAGTGCCCCTGGCCACGCCGCAGGCCATGAGTGCAAGGAATCTGCAGCCCGAGACCCCAGCCCCTGGGTGAGCAGCACCAGGCCAGCCCCACCAGGCCGGGGGGGTGGTGGGGGGCACACACAGGGGCCCCTGCAGTGAGTGCAACCCTGAGTTGTCCCGCCTTGGACACACTGTGTGCCTGGCCACACCCCGCCCCTCGTCGCTTGCTGTGTGACCACGACAAGACACTGCCCTCTCTGAGGCCCAGAAAACGGGCAAGGCCTCAGCCACGGTGCCCCGTCCTGTGAGTCCCTTCCGTCCCCACCAAAGGGCGCCAAGCCACCAGACACCACAAACGTGGCTGCCTCGCAGCTGAACACGGGTCCCTTCTCCCCCGCAAAGTCTGGGGGAGTCTGGGGGCTACAGGGCTCGAGGCCAGCAGACGCCCCCTCCCGACGGGCTCAGCGGGCCCCATCCCTCAAGCCCTGCCTCCCCTCGGGCCCCTGAGACTCACGGGCCTCCAGCTCTGACCCCAGCAGGCCCCGGAGACGGAGCAAGGGGCAGGCGAGGGAGAACCGGGGGAATGGCCCTTCTGCTCTTTAACTTATGATTCCTTTCTTTGCGACCTTGACGCCCTGGGCAACGACCTGGCCAACGACCTGGCCATGGGACAGAGGCACTGGCTGCGTCCTTCCTGCGAGCCGGGCCCTGGAGGGAGGGTGGCCGAGGCCCCAGCCAACGAGCGTCCTGGTGCTCGGCCGCCAAGGATGCCATGTCCAGGCCTGCGGCCCTTTAGGAAGGTTGACTTCTGAACAGCAGAAGTGTGGGGAGGGGGCCATGGTTTCCGGGCCCCTCCCTGCCCGAGGGACACCCAACCACAGCAGCCCCGTGGGACCAGTGGCCAGTCCCCACACGCCCGCGGACGGGGGACAGCCAAGCCACCTTCCGCAGGGTCAGGCCACTGTGACTCGAGTCCCCAGGGGAGCCAGGTCCCCACGGGCAAGCAGCGGCTCACCCTCAGCCTCAACCACCCGGCCCTGCTGCCCGCATCTGGCAAAAGGGGAAACTGAGGCAAGCAGCAGCTCCCTGGTGGGAACGGAAAAATGGGACAGCCAGCCAGGCTGCTCACGAGGCAGACACGGTGCCGCCACGTGGCCCGGCCATGCACTGCCGGGCACCTGGCCCAGGGCGAAACGCCCGTCCACGCAGAAACCACGCCCAGCCCAGGGCGGATGTGCGCCCAGCACCCGAGGAGTAGGAGACGCACAACACGTGGCCCATGCACAGGAGGGGACCACCGACCAGAGGGAAGGCCCAGTCTGCCCGCCAGGGGACAACCTGGAGACCCTGGCCCAGGTAACACCAATGCTGCCGGGCGGGGGGGGGGTCCGCACACAGAGGCCTGCGGTGGAGACAGGCACCTGAGGTGGTGGCTGCTTACAGCCACTGGGGGCATTGTGTGCCACGTGCACGACATCCCAACGAAGCCGGGGCCGGGGCCAGCCCAGCGCGAGGAGCCAGTGCCCCAGCCCAGCCCCGGCTGAGTCCTGGTGGGAAGTCCAGCCAGGGAGAGAGGGGCAGCACCTGCCGTCCATCTCTGCCTCCTGAGCAGGTCTGGGGGCCAGCAGCTCACTGCTCCCCAGTGGCCAGTACTGGGGGCAGCTCTCCTGCACAAAACGGGCAAACAGCCCCACGCTGCCGACTGCTCACCACGAAACTGAGGTCCTGGCGGCTGAGACCCGTCCCCCGGCCTCTCACCTGGGCAGTGAGTTCAGAACTGGGCTCTGAAGACCTGACATGGTACCGATGCCCCACGAGCACCCAGAGGCTCCAGGCCCGCCCACCCCGGCACCCGCTCACCCGACAGCACAGGCAGGCGGGGCTTGGGCGGGGCTCCCAGGGCTGAGGCCGGTGCCTGCCGCTGCCCCCAGCCAGGCTCCAGGAGGCCCGGGTCTGCGCTCCAGCTCCACCGCGGCCCTGCGGTGCACCCACCACGGCCGTGAGAGTAAAGGGAGCGACAGCTGCCCAGCACTCACGGCCACGGCAGGCAGCGCACAGAAAGCCACTCAGCAAACCTCCCTGTGGCCCGACGGGACGGGCGGGATCACTGTTCTCACTTTCCATACGAGGAAACTGAGGCACAGAGCCAGAGGTGCACCTGGGAGTTGCAGGCCACTTGTGGTGTCCGCGCAAGGGCTCTGCGGGCTGGGCTGGGCCCCACGATCGCACCACAGATGCGTGTCCCTTCCTGCAGCCCGGCCAGCTGAGCCCTCGGCCACCGCTCCTCCCCTGGCCCGGCCCCCGCCCGGCCTGGCAGCCCTTATCAGGAGGGAGTGCTTCCTGTGCCGGGCAGCGCCGCGGACTTCCTCCTCCCCCTCCTCCCCCTCCTCCCCTCCTCTTCCTCACCCACCTGCCGCCCGCCCGCCCCCACGCGGCTCCCCGGGCCCCAGCTCACCAGCTCCACCTGGGGCCCCAGGCCTTCCAGAATTCGGTGCGCAGCCTCAGCCTTCTTCTGCAGGACGGAGGGGCGGAGCAGTGAGAGACACAGAGAGAGGAGATTAGAAACAGAGGCCTCTAGGAGCAGCAGGCAGTGGCCAGCCCGCACGCCGGGCCACGGCCCCCTCCTGGCCCGCCCCACGCTGCGCCATGCACACGGGGGCCTCGGGACCCCGTGGCGGCCCCAGCAAGCCGGCTGAGTTTCTGGCACCGTGCCGAGTCCCCCAGGCCGGCGACGTGGGCGCTGCCCCCTGCCAGGCCCAAGCCGCCGCCGTGCCCTGGAAGCCCTGGAAGCCGGCTGGGTCGCCTGCAGGGATCCCGAGCTGGAGCGGGGAGGGGTGGGAGGAGGGGACAGGGCTGGAGCAGGGCCTTCGAGGATTCCGGTGTTTCACAATCACATGACGAGGCCTGCGCTGCCCTGGGGCCTCCCCGCCTCCCTCCCCTCTCACCACCCGGGACTTATTAGGAAGACGGGAACTTGTGGCAGAGAGGACTCCGGGCTGCCGCCTCAATGGGCCAGGCCCCAGCCCCCGCCCCAGGCCCTCAGCCCTGAACGCAGCCATTGTGCCTCGGCTTGGGACCACCAGGCCCCCCTCCCAGGAGGCCTGGACAGGGCAGGGAGGCTGGGCGGGCGGAGGCGGCTTCCCCGTGGCTGGGGCAGGGGGCGGAGGGCAGAGGGCAGGACCCGGGCCAGTGCGGGCTGCGCAGAGAAACCAGAGCGGCACACTCGGCGGCGGCCAAGCCAGGGGGACCTGAGGTGTTTGTCATGCGCTGGGACCATCTTCACACGGAAACCGCCCAGCGCCGGGCCGGGGAGGCCCCGGGGCTCCCAGCAGAGGGAGGCGCCCAGGGCGGCCCCTGCACAGTGGGTTTGTAGGTGGGCTCAAGCTGGCCTAGAACAACCTCTGCCTAGAGCCCAGGGCCCAGCCCACCCAAGGCAGAGCCATGCTCTCGGCCCCATTTGTGCAAGCCAAAACCCCGAGACCAGCATCCTCGGAGTGCGGCTGGGGGCCGGAATCAGGGGTGGCTTGTGCGACCACGGCCCCGTCACTGTGGCCGCTGTGAGCCAAGCACTGGGCGCGTGGCACACGGCACGCATGATCACACACAAGCACCACGTGAGGCGGAGACGAGCAGCAGTCCCACTTTACAGATGGACAGACTGAGGCACAGGAAGACGATACAGGGAAGAAGTCCCTCTGTGGTACGCAGGCTCCAGGAAGGGAGAAAGCCAAGGGTTGGGCTTGAGGCCAGCTCCGGCACAGGGAGGCAGGTGCCGCCGACAGTCACCGCAGAGCACCCTGGGGTGCCGAGGCCGTCAGAATCCGAGTCGGACTGAGTGTACGGGGCGAAGTAGAGCTGGGCTCCCTGAACACTTCCTGAGCACCCATTCGGCATTGAGCCCGGGAGAGACGGACGTCCAGAGACCCAGGAGCAGACAAGGGTAAGGGTGGGGTTCAGGCAGAGATAGGTCCGTGGGGGGCACATGGGGGCACAAGGTGGGCACGGGCCACTCTTCCAAAAGGGCCAGGAGAAATCGGGAGCTGGGTTTTGAGGGGTGAACAGGAGTCCGTGTGTACCGCGAGGCTCTGGGGGACCAGCAACAACTGCTCACACGGACTAAGGGGTGACTCCGGAGCAGCCGGGCACGAGAGCTGCACGTCCCACAGTGGGCCTGCGCCTCGGATCCTCAGCCTGCGTCCCTCCAGCCCCCGCCCCTCACCCCGGTACCAAGCTCCCAGGCCTTCCGCCAGGAACAGTGACACAGCGCGTGCTGTCGCTTTCCGCTTTCCGCCTTCAGGGGGCGGCAGGGCAGGACGGCGCGGACGCAGGCCGCAGACCCGGGCGTGCTCAGGACGGAATCCAGACTCCTGGCCGGGGTCCCGGGGTCCCGGGGTCCCAGCCCCTCACAGGGCCTTGGCCTCTGCTGTCCGCACACCGCTCCCCAGACACCCGCAGCCACTTCTGCCCCGGGCCTTTGCACCTGCTGCTGCTGCGCCTGGAACACCACTCCCACCTGCCCTCAGCCAGAGGGGCCCTCGGTGACCACCCAGGACAGCCCACCACCCCCTCGCCCTGGCCTGGCCGACTGTGCGGCAGCCGAGCAGCGGGACGGACGCAGAGCACCCGCCGTGCCTCTGCCGGAGGCTGTCTCCCCGGGACGTCAGCCCCCAGAGCTCGGCTCTGCCCTCAGCCGCGAGCACGGGACCAGCGCCTGGCACAGAGGGCGCTCGGGAACGCTCTCTCCGACTGGGAGGGGCTCAGGCTGGGGTCGCCCTCTAGCGCCGGCCGGCGCCTCAGCGTTCCGGGTCCCCGGCACCTGCACAGAGCTGGGCACACAACCGGGTCCCCACGCTGAGATCTGTAAACGCCCTAACATCCGACATGTGTGCCCCCAGCTGAGGCCCACTCACGCCTGTCCCCATGCGTGTGGCCCACGCGACCACGTGCATAGCCATGATGTGTAAATGTACAAGAAACCACATGTGTGCCCCACACCTGCCACCTCACGCCCACCCCCTGTATACGTCAGCCCATCACATGACTGCGTACCGATGCCCACAGGGACACAGGTGCACAAGCAGACACACGTGTGCCCACATGTGCTCACTCGTACACACAGGCACTCGGTAGCCACACACACATGTCCACATGTACACGCAAGTGCCAAAGACCCACAAGGAACCACAGGCCCACGCGTGCTCACATACACCCATACTGACCTGCCAACCACACACAGTCCTCCTCCAGGATGGAGGACTGAGAGCCCCCCACCACCCGCCGGGGAGCCCCAGGCCAGCTCCTCACTGAGCGAGCAGGCAGCGGGGACAGCGCCAGGAACCCCCGGCCGCACGCCCTGGCTCCAGGAGCCGCTCACCCAGAGGTTCCGCTGTGTCTCTGGAGGAGCCCACGGCCCGGAACCCCGGCCAGGAGCCCACCCCGGGGGGTGAGCGAGCAGGAAGAGCAGGCAGTCTGGGAGCCACGTGCGGGGCGTGGGCAGGGCAGGGGGGCAGGACTGGGGTGGGACCTGCCAGAGGACTCCGGGGGTGAGGAGCGGGCCTTGGCCACTGCCCAGAAAGGCCCGGATGGCGACTGGGCCTTGGGGCGCCAGGACCCCGAGTGCTCTGCAGAGTGCCCGGCTCAGCAGTCGCTGTCAGGACGCAGACGAGCTGGGCGCTGCTCGCGCCAGGGTCCCAGGTCCTCGCCCCTCGCCAGGGCAGGCCTGGCGGCCGCAGGTCCCACCCCCCACCACCCCCGCCCCGGCCTCCATCTCTGTGCTGGACCACCTCGGCCTCTCCCCAACCATGCTCATTTCTGCAGAGCTCACGCGAGTCCGCCTCCTCCATGAAGCCCACCCCGGTAGTCAACCCACTGCCTGAAGTGCTGCAGCCCCACGCGGCCACCGCCCGTAACTCCCCGTGCTGCCCACGTGTGCCCTCCACCTACACGCCAGGCAGGAGCTTCCAGTGCAGATCAAAGGAGGCCCCCACGGCCCTCCGGGCTTGGCTGCGCGGTGACCCCGCGCCAACTGCCGTCTGCAGGCACCTGCCTGCCCGCTGTGCCGCTCCCACTGGCAGGAAAAGCCCAGCATAGCGGCGGCTCCCGGTGCGCGCTGCGTGCCTACCGAGTGAAGGCTCAGAGGAGCCGGAAGAGCCGGAGGCGGCGCGCGGCGGGGAGCTGCGCTTCCCAGGCGCTGGCCTCGCCCTCCCTCCCTCCCAGGAACCAGCAGGGAAGGGAGTGGGAGGGATTAAAGGGAACCCCTGCTGCTCCCCGCGGGTGGGCGTGAGTCCTGGCTGCCCTGCCCACCATGTCTGCAGAGGCTCAGCCCGGCGGAGGCCCCCAGCACCCCACGGCCTGGGAAGACCCTGCCTCTCACCCTCCACTCAGCAAACACGGGTCGGGCATCGGCGCCAGGCACTCTGGCAGGTGCCAGCGATGCAGCCGGGCCAGCCGGGCCAGCAGACGGCTCTGGCCCCCAAGGGGCTCCTGTTCCAGGAAGTCAGGAGAGCCGACGCCTGTCCTGGGGGGGGGGGGCAACAAGGGATGGGGAGAGCAACAGCCAGGAAGGGGAGAGGGGCCTGGGAGGCTTCCAGGATTAAGCAGGGCCTCACTGAGCACAGAGCGGGGCAGGCGACAGAGACCTGGCGGGAAGGGGCTCCGAGCAGAGGGCCGGGCCGAGGGTGCGCCGCCCGGCAGGACCAGGGCCACCACGGCCTCCACGGAGAGGCCACCTGGGGGACCCTCGCCGTCCCCCACACCACAGGCTCCTAGGGCCAGCTCCGTCTTGGCGCCACACCTGCTGCGGCGTCTCGGGCAGCTCACCTGCCCCCTCTGAGCCTGAGCTTGCTGAGTAACGTGGAGAGGACGCAGGCACCCGTCGCGTACAGATGTGGACGGGAGGAGATGCAACGCGCAGCGCACGGACAGCAGCAAGAGCAGAGAGCCAGCGACACTGACGACAGCCCCAGCCGGCACTTCCTGGGTGCCAGGCACTGGCCCGGGGGCACGCAGCCGTGACCGCGTGAGCCCCGGAGCAGCTGCACACGGTGCGTGCCGATGTCATCTCGTCTTAGCCAAGGAGCAGGAAGCACAGGAGGACTGGCGAAACGCTCAAGGTCACAGGGTCAGGAGGCGGGACAGATGGGATGCGAACCCAGGACATCTCGCTGAGCCACACGTGGCCCCTTGGCTCTCCTACAGTCAGCCGGGGCAAGGGGGTGTGGGAGGGCGGCCGGAGCAAACAGGCCGCAGGAGCCCAGCAGGCCAGCGCTCGTCCTGCACCATATGACCACCTCAGGAGTGCAGGCAGAGCCCAGCTGGCCGATTGGCAGTTTCCTGCCATGCGTTCCCGTGGGCCACCGAGGGCCCAGCACCGCCACAAATGCCGCCAGCTCCCACTCGGACTCCGAGCACTGATTCAGCCGGGGGAGAGGCCACAGAACCACAGCCAGGAAGGGTGGCCGGGGCCACAGCAGGGGGAGGACGGGAGGTCACTCTGTGCCCTCAGACAAGGACCAGCCCCTCCCCCCACCGTTCACCCACCCATGAAATAAAGGAGGGACCCCGGCACGCGTGGGTCCTGCCGAAGATCACCAGAGCCCAGCTCTACGTGGCCTCGTGGGGGTGACGGGGAGCTCACCACCTCCCCAGCACCAAGTGCCACCTCCAGGCAGCCCTGGAGATAGCCTGCCCGGGCACCTCGGCCCCTTCCCAAGATGGAGCCCCTCCCAGGGTCCCCAGAGCCTGCTCCAGGCCCCGTGGGTCCGTCAGCCCCAGCTCTGTGACCTGGACGAGGAACTCGCCGTCTCTGGGCCTCAGTTTCTCCATTCGTGAAAGGGAAACGGCGCCTGTGAGCCCCTCGCAGGCCTGTCTGTCAAGGGCTGACGGGCAGGGGCCGGGCAGGAGCTGCTACTGTGACTGCCTGTGCTCCAGCAACTCCCTCCACACGGGGCCTGGAGCGGCTGCCCTCGCACGGGGCCAGGGGGCCTGGGGCTCCCCACGCCCCACAGCCCAGCCACGGGCCCAGCAGCCACACTCGGCAGCCACCCCCCGCCGCCCACCTGCAAATCCGCCTGGGCAGGAGGGTCACCATGCCCCCACCTCCCCGACGGGGACGCGCGGGCGGGACGTACCCGGTTCTCGTCGTAGATGATCTGCACGAGGCTCCGGTGCTTGGCCTCGCTGGGCGGCGGCGACACGGGCTTCTCCGGCTCGGCCGGCTTGGCGGCCTCCTCCTCCAGCTGTTGCTGCGGGACGGGCAGAGCGTGAGGGGAGGGCTCCGACCGCACGCAGGAAGTCAGGCCGCTCCCCGCTTCCTCTGAGTCACTCGGGCGCTCGGGCTGCGCAGGGGCCCCGGCTGAGCCTCCCGGCTCCTGGCGGGCCTTCCCGGGGTTCAAATCCTGCCCTCGAGCCTGGGCAGCCAGGGGCCGGAGGCACGCCGGGCCTCGGTTTGCTCCTCCGTCGTGGGCACCGAGTGAGGTAACGGTGCACAGCAGGGGCCGGCTTGCCGACAGCCCCCAGTGTCACCCACTGCGGCCCCCACAGGACCATCGGCACCAGGACGGCTGTGCTGGCCATGCTGGCCGTGCTGGCCATGCTCGGTCTGTGCTGGTCCCATGCAGCGCAGCGGGCACCCTCGTTCTGCAGGGGCTCCAGCCACTGCTCCCTGCTGGGCGGCCCCCTTTTTGTGCAGGGGCTCCTTGGAGCCTCCCAGCACCCTCCAGGGAGTGGAGGCCCAGGTGGGGACGCTGCGCCCCCTCCGGACCGGCTGGGCAGCCTTGGGCATTCCCAAGCATCTCCGAGCCTCACCTCCTCACGGGGACATGGGGCCGAGAACCCCTCTGAGCCCCCCGTCACTGGCTTCCCCTGCACTGTCGCCAGCACCGACCTCGTCTGCCCTGAGCTCTGCATGCTGGAGCCCCCCAGCCCCCACCACCTCCGGGAAGGCCGCCCCTTCCTGCTGCTGTCTGCGCTCTGCCCGACAAGGAGCAGAAAAGCGCAGGGCTCGCGACACCGGCCCCACGCCACACAGGCAGCAGAGGCCCGGTCTGCCACCTTGCAGGGCAACACGAGTGAGAGGGGCCCCGGCTCCTCTGGGCTCACGACGCCCAGCCTGCCCGTAGCCGTGAGGCAGACTACCAGGAACCCAGAGGCAGCCGAGAGGAAGGCTGTGCAGAAAGCATCGGCAAACCCGGAGCCCTGGGTGGGGCAGAGCAGCTTCCAAATGCCCCCAAAGGTGCAAAACCAATGAAGCCAAGTAATGAAGCAGTCAGATGGGGCAGGCACATAGTCAGATGGGGTGGGCCCAGTCAGATGGGGTGGACACATAGTCAGATGGGGCAGGCACACAGTCAGATGGGGTAAATACCCAGTCAGATGGGGCAGATACCTGGTCGGATGGGGCAGGCACCCAGTCAGATGGGTGGGTACAGGAGAGTCTCTTCCGTCAGAGAAGTGGCCTCCCTGAGGCCCACCTGAGGCAGGCAGGGACGCGGGGAAGAGGTGTGGGCTGGGCAAGCCTCTCTCAGACTCCCGGGAGGACCAGCACTCCCTGGAGGGTGCTGGGAGGCTCCAAGGAGCCCCTGCACAAAAAGGGGGCCGCCCAGCAGGGAGCAGTGGCTGGAGCCCCTGCAGAACGAGGGTGCCCGCTGCGCCGCATGGCACCAGCACAGCCCGAGCATGGCCAGCACAGCCAGCACGGCCAGCACGGCCAGCACACTGCTGCTGGATGTGGGCAAACCTGCTGGGGAGACCGGCGGGCAGCCGCTCACCAAGTCCAACCAGAGAGCCCACGTGACCGCCAGGAAAGCCGGGAGAAGAGGGAGCCCCGGGGCAGCGCGCACAGCGGCCAAAGGGAAGAAGCCCAGGTGCAGACAACACGGCTCTGCACGCCGCGGTCAGGAGCAAAGCCCCGGGCCAGGCACGGTGCACAAGAACCTCGGACAGGTGCTGCGGCGCGAGCCCCGACAGGAGAGGTCCCCGGTGTGGGATTCCAATGGCACAGCACGCCCGGAACAGACGGGGGGCGGGGGGCACTGCTGCCCGGGCCGGGGCCTCCTCTTGGAACCAGCCGAGGGGGTGCACCAAATGCCTCTGAACCGTGCTTGCAAAGGGTTGGTTATGTTTGCAAATTTTACTTAAAAAAAAAAAAAAAGAAGAAAGGTCCAAGTAGAATTTAGAAAAAAAAAAACCAAACCCTGACTGTGCAAGGCCTCTCTACACCGCTGGCCTCCCTCTGATCCCTCACAGGAAACCCTCTTACCAGCCCTGCGGCCTCTGACCTCTGGCCAAGCCCCACTGACCGTCCCCCAATCCTGACCCCGAGGTCCCTCGCTCCTACACAACCTCCAAAAACACACAAGGCGCCCCCTCCAGGAGGCCCTCTCTCCTCAGCCCCGACTCCAGGCCCACGTGGCTGGGATGGGCCTGTGTCCCTCATGCAGCCCGCATACCCTTGTCTGGAGGGACCCGGCATGAGCCCGCCGCCCTGGCAGCCTCCCAGGGGTGGCCAGCAGACAACAGCGAGCACCTTCTATGCACCCAGCATTGCCAGGGGCACGGCAGTGGCCAGGGAGACAAGGGCTCTGCTGTCCGGCGTGGCCGGGGGACCACGGCTAAGCGAGCAGGATAACAGCATCCTAGGATGCTGACGTCACCAACTGGGCAGAGGCTTCTGCCAGGACCCACACAGCCCAGGCGTTACGGACACAGCCGGGCACAGCTGTGTGCCAACCAAACTTCATTTACAAAAACCAGCAGCAACACACATTGGGCTGGACCGGCCGCTCCGGGACGCAGGCTGGTGAGGCTCTCGGTGGAGGGGACCGCAGCAGGGCCCTGGGGGGCAGCAGGGAGGGAGCCAGAGCGGAGCCAGGAAAGCGGATCAGCAATGACCTGACACCAACGGCCCGCAGGCCAGCGCCGTGGGGGGAGCATGACAAACACCTCTTCACGTGGCCCGGTGACTCGGACAGCGACCACACGGCTTGCTGTCAAATCACACGACCCTGCCCCTGCGCACAACCCCGGGACGGGGCAGCCTGCCTGTGCCCATCACACGGTCAAGGGGACCGAGGCTTCCGGAGGTGAAGCTTGTAAAGCCACACGTGGCGGGGGAGGGGAGTGACGGCCGCCCCACGCTGCCTGAACACCGTGGCACCAAGACTGGACCTGTGCGGCCCGGCGACAGCTCCCACGCTCCGACAGCAGCAGCTCCAGGGCCTCAGCGAGTGTAGACTGACTTAACCGACACACAGCTGAGAATTCCAATCCCGCAGCTACACCGCAGCGCACACACGGCCCGCGGCCACCACGCAGGACGGGGCTGGGCCTCCCGAGGCTCCTACGGAACAAACTCAGACGGCGTAAGGAGGAGCCCGCTCAGGGGACAGCACCGCACTGTGCATCCTCCGGCTGGCGCAGGTGAGAGCAAAGGCGGCGCCCGGCACTGGGGGGCGTGGGCGCACGCTCACCACCACCGCTTCCGGTACCACCCTCGCTGTGGGGCCCGAGAGCCGCCCCCGGCCCGCGCACCTGCTTCTTCTTCAGCTTCGAGATCTGCTGCTCCACCATGGTGATCTCGCGGTCCACGCGGTCCATGTTCTGGATCAGCTCCTCCTTGGACAGCCGTGGAGGGACCAGCTCCAGCTCGGGGTCAGCATGGGGAGGGCTGGGCGGAGACACGGGCTCCAGCTTGCCCGTCAGGCTGCGGTCCTGGGAGAGAGGGACAGCGGGCATGGAGTCAGCGCACGGAGCACCCCAGCTCCCAGCGAGGACTTCACAGCCCAGCACACCAGGCGCCTGCCAGTCACCGGACGGCTCACGGGTGCCCCGCCTGCCACAGACCCTCCGAGGGTCAAGGTCCTTCGGAGTCTTCCACAATGAGGCCCCAGCGCTCCCCTGAAGCCCCCGCTTTTCCCATAGCACCCCCTCTTCCGCCAGGTCCCACCCCCACACCCTCCGTCACTCTTCACGATGCTCCCTCCGCCCATCCAAGTAGCCACGGCCCAATCCACCGCGGGCGGGCTGGGGACATCCACGCTGCGCGATGGCCCATGGCCGGCACGTGCAGAGGGACCTGCTCTGAGCGGTGGGTGGCAGGGGCCTCCGCCTCTGCCTGTCATTCCCCAGCTACGTTCCTGATGGGCTTCCCCGAGGGCAGCCCTCCGCGGAAAAAGGCTGCTTTCAGAACTGTGTTTGCCACCCGAGGGAAGAGGGAGCCGGCGCTGTGTCTCCGGGGCTTCCTGGTCCCGCGCCCCTTGTAGAGGGAACACCTGCTCACGGGGCACCTGCTCTGCCCCATGCAGCACCCTGCCGCAGGCTCCTCGTCTGTGCCACGGGGGAAGGAACAGTCCCAGCCGCCCCAGCAGTCGCGATCTTGAGTGTCCACGTGTGGAGCGTGCGGAGCCCGTGCAACCCAGCCCCGAACCCATGCCAGCCTCAGGCCCAGCCGCAGCTGCAGCCGCGGCCCCAGGGAGTGCCAGGCCGCCACGGCCCCGCGCCCACGGCAGCTGCACCGAGGACACAGGGGGCAGTATTCCCAGGACAACTGCAGCCAGGCCCCCTACTAGCAGAGGCTGCGCCATCTTCTCTATACCCCCCACACCCACCCCAAGACCCCAGCAGAGCCCAGAGGGGCCAGGAGTGCCAGGATCGCTCTGGGTTTGCCTCCTGGCCTCACTGTCACTGTGGGAAATGTGGGGACATGGGAGCCGGCGCTGGACTGCAGAGTCTCCCTCCTCACACCCAGGAGCCCTGAGGGAAAGGGCAGGAAAAGCCCAAGTCCCTCATTGGCCCCAAAGTGCCCCCACCCCAGAAATGTGGCCCGGGCCGCTCTGCTCAGCAGAGCCCAGCCCACCAGCGACTGCACCCCTACTGCAGAGACGCGGCAGCCAAGCCTGAGGCCTGGCCCACACCAGGCAAAGCCTGCAGGCAGCATAAGGGACCAAGCCCAGAAGTATCTCAGGCCTGAGGGCCTGATGAGCTCACCCTACCGAAAGCAGCCGCCAGCCACGCACAGTAAACGTGCACGGTTGTGTACCAATAAAACTTTATCGACAAAAGCAAGCCGAGGGCCAGATCTGGAGCTTGTGGAGCTCACTGTCCCCTGAGCGGAGCAATCCACAAGTCGTGACTCCGGTCACTGTCACAGCCATTGTTCTCCCGCCTTCCAGGCACGGGCACTAAGGGACAGCAAGGGTCAAAGGTGCCCGAGGCCACACGGCCACAGCGCAACGCAGTCTGCGGTTGGACGATGCAGAAAGGGGGGCCCTGGTCACACATTTGCTGCCCCCATAGAATCACACGTCTGGGCAGAAGAACCAAACCAAGATCCTTCTAGGAACCCAGGGCCTGGAACGCCCTGAAATCAGACAAAAGTGTGTATGCAAGAAAACCCCCTATAAAAATGCTCACAAGGGGCCAGCGCTGTGGTGCAGCGGGAAAAGCCGCCACCTGCAGTGCCAGCATCCATATGGGTACGGGTTCGAGTCCCAGCTGCTCCACTTCTGATCCAGCTCTCTGCTGTGGCCTGGGAAAGCAGGAGAAGATGGCCCAGGTGCTTGGGCCCCTGCACCCACATGGGAGACCTGGATGAATCTCCTGGCTCCTGGCTTTGGTCTGGTCCAGTTCTAGCTGCTAATCGTGGCCATTTGGAGAGTGAACCAGAAGATGTAAGATCATTCTCGCTTGCTCGCTATCTCCTTCTCTCTGACTCTGCCTTTCAAATAAAAATAAACAAATCTTTTTAAAAAATGCTCACGACAGAGCCAGTGCTGTGGTTTAGAGGGTAAAGTCACTGCCTGCAGTGCCGGCATCCCATATGGGTTCAAGTCCTGACCGCTCCACTTCCGATCCAGCTCTCTGCTGTGGCCCAGGAAGGCAGTGGAAGATAGTCCAAGTCCTTGGGCCCCTGCACCCGCATGGGAGACCCAGAAGGAGCTCCTAGCTTCAGACAGGCACAACTCTAGCCACTGCAGCCATTTAGGGGTTAACCCACAGATGGAAGACCTCTCTCTCTCTCTCTCTCTTTGCCTCTGCCTCTCTTTAACTCTGCTTTTCAAATAAATAAATAAATCTTAAAAAAAAAATGCTCATTTATGGCCAGCGCCGTGGCTCACTTGGTTAATCCTCCGCCTGCAGCACCAGCATCCCACATGGGCGCCGGATTCTGTCCCGGTTGCTCCTCTTCCAGTCCAACTCTCTGCTATGGCCCGGGAGAGCAGTGGAGGATGGCCCAAGTGCTTGGGCCCTGGGAGACCAGGAGGAAGCACCTGGCTCCTGCCATCGGATCAGCGCGGTGCCAGCCATGGCAGCCATTTGGGGGGTGAACCAACGGAGGGAAGACCTTTTTCTCTGTCTCTCTCTCTCACTGTCTATAACTCTACCTGTCAAATAAAAAAAAGAATGCTCATGAGGGTGCATGTGTGTGCCAGTGGGGGTGGGCCTGACAGGAGGGCAGGGCAGGGGCCTGGGGACATCCGGTCCCCACGTAGCAATTCAGCAGTGCCTCACGTATCTACCACCCCGGGGCCTTTGCACAAGCTGTGCCCTGTGGCTCAACCCCACTTCGGTGCCAGGGAAATCAGAGCCACACCTCCAACACCAGCTGGCCCCTCCCCGGTGCACTCCACAGCACCTGGTCTCCCAGGGCTGCTGCAGGACACTCCTCCCCTGCTCTGCCACCGGGGCGAATGGGGACGAGAATGCAGAAGGGCGGGCTCTGGGGCCAAGCGTCCACCCAAGCCAGGAGAGCGGCTGAAGAGCAAGGCTGGCACGGGACGCCCCCGGCCCCCCGGCTGGCCGCTCAGCTCCTGCTGGGAACGTCGGGAAGTCCCGGAAACACCTGTCCCTTCAACTCCTGGGGGCAAGGAGCCGTCTTCCTCACAGCTTCTTCAAGGCTCAGATTCTGCTGTGAGCAAAAGTGCACGCCTGTGTCCATCAGCCTTCGGAGAGAGAAACCACGCAGGCGTGGCCACGATTGGGCCGCTCAAGGGACCGAGGCACCGACACCTGCCACAGCTGGCCGCACCTTGCAAATGGGGTGCCGAGAGACGGAGCAGACGCAGGCCCCCGAGCTGGCGGCCGGTGTGGAACGTGCAGAGGCGGCCGACGGACGGGCAGAGCACCCGCGGCCCCAGGGGCAGGAGGACTGGGGAGGACGGGGAGGGACCCCACAATGGCCAGAGTTCCCTCCGGAGTGCCGAGAATGCTCTGGAATGCGGTGGCAGTGGCGGCAGCCGCAGGGCTGTGCACAGCCTACATCACTACCTGCCCACTGTAATGGGTTAATCTCGTGCTGCGACGGGGTGAGCATGCGACACAGCACTTGGAGCACGCACGTCCCATGTCAGAGTGGCCGGGCTCCAGCGCTGGCTCCTCTGCTCCCAATCCAGCTTCCTGCTCGTGCACGCCTAAGGGCTTGGGCCCCGCCACCCGCCACGAGACCCAGGTGGAGCGCCTGACTCCCGGCTCCAGCCTGGCCCGCCGTCGCAGGCATTTGGGGAGTGAGCCAACGGAGAGACGACCTCTCTGTCTATCAGCCTTCCAAATAAAAGGAAACACATGAAAACGCGAAGCTCCTGGGGAAGCTGCACTTTGAACAACCCACCGTACCTGACCCTCACCTCAGTCCCCAGGAAGAGGCGCAGCCGGATGGCAAGGAGCCGGCGACCAGGCCTTGAAGGCCGCCCGAGCCTGTGGGAGGCACACAGAGGCCCCGCCCCCGCCCCGGGCTGCCAGCGAGCAGCTGGCACCGCTCTCCATCCGCGGCCGCCCGCCCGTGGCACGAAACCTCAGGCCAGCGCTGCGGAGCGGAGCTCATTACGCAAAACAAAAGACACAAAAGACGTGGGGGCGGCAAGGGACTCCGAGGTCCCAGATCCGGGGAGGGGGCAGGGCCAGCCCCAGGCAGCCGCAGTCTGTGCCTGGCCGGGCCACACTGGCAGGCTCCAGGAAGGCCCTGAGCTGGCGGGGGCGGGGGCTGGAGCGTGCAGAGGCGGAGGGAGCCCTCTGCCGCCCCTGAACCTCGGAGCAGCGAGGCTGAGCCCCACACTGCTCTGTCGCTGACAGAGATCACGTGACAAACGGCGGGGCCGAGGGGCCAGGGCCGGGGGTCTTGGTGAGCTGGACCACGCTGTGCCCCTGGAATTTAATTTACTAGGCAAGCCAGTCTGATGGGGCAGCCTGGGGGCCCTGAACAACCCCAACGTGCCCTGGGCTTTCTGAGGGACGCCTCTGCCCGCCACAGACCCCAGAGGCAGGGGCAGGGGCGCGTTTTTCACATGAAATGGAGCGCAGCTGGCGCGAGGGCGAGCAGCAAACGCCGGCCCCAGGGTGCAGCTGAATTCCACAAGGCAGACGCAAAGCCCGGCCTGCACCGCGGGCCTCCCAGGCCGCCTCCCGCCCAGCACTGGCTCAGAGTTTCCAATGGCTTCAACAGCCTGCAGCAATTACAGCAGAGGCCACGCACCACCCAGGGGCCCCCCACAGGCCCTGGGAACAGGAAGAGACGGAGCAGAGACCACCAGAGGCCTGTAAAGCCAGAGACACGGAGCGCAGGCAGCGCGGGAGCACGGAAGGGGGAGCCCCAGGCGGTGGGGAGGGGGAGCCCCAGGCGGTGCGGGGGTGGGGGTGGCAGAGAGCCACAGTGAGGGACACAGACCCTGCCGGCAGGGGCTCAGCCTCTGGCCAGAGCAGACACCTGATAGGGACAGCTGGGACTGGGACAGGAGTGCCTGGGGACAACAGCCCACAGGGCCAGGAGCCTGAAATCCCCTGGGATCTCCAGCAGGAGGGAGGCTGCAGGCAGCATTGGGAAGGCACCTGGGGGGGGGGGGGTGAGAAGGAGGAGGGAAGGAAAGGGGTGGGGCGGGGGGAGGTGCCAGCAGCCAAGGCACCACCCCCATCTCGGAGGACCTGGCTCCAGCCCCAGACCTGGACTGCAGCATGAGCACCTCGATGCAGCCTAGAGACCCCTGAAGGCCCCAGGGAGGACCTCCCTCAGCCACGACCTCAGGGGGTCCTCGCGGAGCTGGCCCCAGGCTCCCAGGGAGAATGAAGAAGGAAGGCAGAAAGAACGCGCCTCCCTGGGATTCCTGGGCAAAGGGGAACCACGCAGACCTGCAGGGCGGGAGCTGAGGGACACTGGGCTGACCAGAGAGGCCAGGGCGGTGACGGGGCTGCAGCACACCGACCTGCCGGTCACCCAGATGGCTCCCCGTTCCCAGCGCCTGGCCAGGGTCAGCCCCGTGGGCACCCGGGAGGTGTGCAGGCGTCACAGCTGTGAGCCCCGCAGAGCAGGAGGGGAGGCCCGGACACCCCCTCCTGCCCTTGCCCGCCCAGTCCTGCCTCAGGGCCTCCAGGGTCCACAATGCTGTCATCCCTCCTCATCAGAAGCCCCGCCCACACAGCCACCAGCCATGCCAGCCTGGGACACGAGGCTCACAGCCAGGCACTCTGCCCCACGGCCTGTACAACACAGGAGTGCCCATCAGTCCCCCATTGAATGGGGAGAGAACGGGGCACAGAGAGGCACAACCCCCTGCCTGGAGCCACACAGCAGCCAGGCCAGGGTGGCGGGGACAGAGCCACGGAGGCTCCAGATCAAAAGATGCTGGGTAGGTTAAGTGCGCAGGTGAGACCAGGGGTGACAGGGCCCAGCTCCCCCCTGCCCGACGCCCGCCCTGGGGTCCCGTAGGCCCAGCAGCTGCAGATTCCCAACGCGGCCCAGGACCACCGCGTGGAGGACAGCGTGCTGCCCCCAGCAGGGGCTCCGGGGCCGAGCAAGCACGGCCTCCCTGGTGCCGGCAGGATTTGGCCCCCGTCACGCTGGGAGCACAAGCCCAGGGGGCTGCCTGCCGAGCAGTGTTTCGGGGACCCTCTGAGCACTCTGGCCAAAGCAAGCGACGAACGGAACCTCAGGGCTGTCCTCAACCCCGACCCCAGCACTCCGTCAGCACTTCCCGGGGACCCCGGGGTCCCTCCAGCTGGCCACACGGCCACTGCTCTGGCCACCTGGAACTCTTAGGTCGGAAGTTAGGAAGGGGCCTGTGTGCGCGAGAGGGGCCGAGGAAAACAGCGTCTACAGAAGCCCCCCGGGACAGTCCTGCCCAGACCTGGTAACTCGGGAGGCGCTCGCAGCCCCCCACTCAGGGGAGCCTCCCAGGACCGTCCTCTCCTCAGCACCACATGGGTGACCTGGGCTGGTGGCCTGGAGCAACCAACCTCCACGGCGGGCGCCTCTGCCCGTGCCAGCTGGGCTCCCCAGCCTGAGAGCACTGAGCAGTGAAACCCGGGAGGAGTCTTCCTTGTCCTGGAGACGGGGGAGGAGAAACAGCGGGGAAAACTGGAGCCTCCCTTACACGCCGCGGGCTGACTGCGCGCTCGGCCCTCTGCTCTCTGCTGAGCCGCCCGCCTGGCCTGCCAGCTGCGTTCTCTCCGTTTGCCCACGTGACCTTGCTGTCCCCAGGCTGACGGGGCGCTCTCTCTCTCTCTCGGCTTCTGTCTGGAGAGGCGCCCATCCGTCCTTGTGGGTGCCCCACCCAACACACCTGGCTACCTTGCTTACCGCCGCTCTGTTGCACACCTGAGCTCTTTCTTGCGCCAAGACAAGAACCCCGGCCGGCGCCGCGGCTCACTAGGCTAATCCTCCGCCTAGCGGCGCCGGCACACCGGTTCTAGTCCCGGTCGGGGCGCCGGATTCTGTCCCAGTTGCCCCTCTTCCAGGCCAGCTCTCTGCTGTGGCCAGGGAGTGCAGTGGAGGATGGCCCAGGTGCTTGGGCCCTGCACCCCATGGGAGACCAGGAAAAGCACCTGGCTCCTGGCTCCTGCCATCGGATCAGCGCGGTGCGCCGGCCACAGCGGCCATTGGAGGGTGAACCAACGGCAAAGGAAGACCTTTCTCTCTGTCTCTCTCTCTCACTGCTTTCCACTCTGCCTGTCAAAAAAAAAAAAAAAAAAAAAAAAAAAGACGAGAACCCCACACTTGGACTCCGCTAACAGAACCCTCTTCCCGATCTGGCCCATTCTGGGGCGCCGCCAGGAGACCTGGCCTTGCCAGCTTCTGGGCACCCTGTGGGGGGCCCTGTCCCCGGCCTGGGCCCCTCCGCCCCGCACACCAACGCCTTACCTTGGTGAGGTCGTCAGAGGCTCCGGGCTGGCCTGTGGCCAGCAGGGCCGAGGGCCTCAGCAGGGGCTCGGGCAGCAGCTCCAGGCGCGGGCGCTTGCTCTCCATGAACTCCAGCTCCGACTTGCCCAGCTCGGGCAGGTACGTGTGCGGCTCGGGCCGCAGGTGGAGCTCCTGGGACCTGGGGGCGGTAAAGGCACGTGTCACTGCACCGGGCAGCGAGGCTCGGGAGAGTCGGGGGCCCCACTGATCCCACGGGGCACCCCACGCACCACGTGCTGCACAGCCCTACGGCTGAAGCTTGGGAGGAGCGCCCTCGCGCTGCCTCCGTGGAGAGGACACTGGGAGACAGCAGCCGCCCCCCCACCCCCCAGCGGCAAGGGCACAATCTGGAGCTCCCCTCCCCCACCCGCCGCCCCGCCCTGACTCAGACGCTGCCCGGGCTTTCTGAGCAGGCCGATGACCACACATCCTCATCACCCGGCCAGGCAGGCATCACTAGCCAATCACAGCACGCAAGTCCCCTGCGCAGCCTGATCACTTAGGACCAGCTCTCTTTAACTGCACTTTGCTCTCCCAGGGAGGGGCCCTCAGCCTGCCCCCGCCCTCGACACTGCCCTTGCCTGGGGGCTTCTCTAGCATTTCCTTCTTGCTTAGGGTGGGACCCAAAGTCCCCACCCCCAGCCCAGAACCCCAGGCCCACCTCCCTGACCCTGCTCACTTCACCACTGTGTTCCTGCCTCAGGACGGCCGCTGGGGCCAGGCCCCCTCCCCAGCCACCTCCCCGCCTTTGTGCCCCAATGCAGATGTGCAGAGTCCCTGGCCCCGCCAGCCCCCTCCCACCAGCCCTGCCATCTTTCAGCTCAAAGTCACCGGTGTTTGCTGGCTGCCAGCTGGTCCCGGCATGTCTGCTACGCCAGGGCACGGCCGTTCACCTGCATGGCTCACGGCGGTCTCCAAGGCACACAGTAGGTGCTCAGTCAGTGCAGACTGGCTGAATGCTGCCAACCACGGTGCAGCTGGCAGCACCTGCAGGGAGGGGGCACCACCCCCTCTGCTCCCTCCCTGGAGGCCCTCATGTGCCAGACCCCAACATCCCTTCTGCCACCACCAGGAGTGTGGCCGGAAGCCAGAGGCTTTTCCTTTAGACACAAGGCTGCCACACTGGGCTGAATGGTGTCCCCAAACTCCAAGGGACCTGTCGATGGCCCTGAGCTAAGCTGAGGTCACACTGGATGGGGGCGGGCTCAAAACCCCATGACCGCTGTCCTCCCAAGAGTGTGAGAGCGGTGGCAGGGGAGAAGCCCTGTGCAAGAGTGAGAGTGCAGGGGTGTGGACCTGGGAGCCAGGCAGGAGCGGCCTCCCCCGGAGCCCCGGAGGGAGCAGAGCCCGGCTGACACCTCGCCCCAGAACGGAGGGACGCGTCAGACTGAGGTCCTGGGGAACGGCGGCCCCAGGAAACCACCCAGGCCCTCGAGCGCGATCCCTGGGTCTCCCTGCACCTGCATCCGCTCCTGCCTGAGTGCCCCGGCCCCACCCACTCCCAGGGGACCCTTGGCGGTGGGCTCCCCACCAGGGCCTGTGGCACTGTGACAGTCTTGGTCTCAGGGTTCTAGTTCCCTTCCCTGCCCCCACCTCAGCCTCAGCTGCCCCTTCCAGGAAATGGGCACACTCCCCACCCCAGCTGCCTCCAGCAGCTCCTGGGGAAGGGAGGAGAAAGGATGAGGCCAAGGGCTCCGAATCTCAGCGCTGGCGTCCACGCTCCCCGCCAGGGCCTGCCCCCGGCTCCCCCACCTGGACGGGCAGGAAGCTGAGGGCCTCTGCCGGCAGCAGGAGAGCAGAGGACAATGGGGGGAGGGCAGGGGCTCCTCGTGCCCAGGGCGTGCTCACGCCCCTCCCAGCCAGGACACGCACCTGCTCCCACCCGTGTGGATACTCACCCTCTGCCCGGGCCCCTCAGGCACAGAGGCCCGTGGAGAGTCCACGCTGGGAGCCCGGGCCACACAGCTCTTCCCTCGGGTCACGGTGGCCCAGGACAAGGCAAATGCCCCCACCTGCGGACCCCGCTCCCCCAGGCCCTGCGTGGCCCCGAGCCAGGAGGCGCCGGCATCTGCTCACCGTTCATTCCCGGGCTGGAACTCGGACAGCAGGGAGGGCCTCCTCCTCTGGGGCTGGATGATGGAGCCGGGCGACAGGTGCGAGGCGTAGTCCCGCGGGCGGTGCTGGTACTCCAGCAGCCCGACATCCTGCAGACGCCGTGGGGCAGTGAATGAGCAGGGCATGGGCACGGGCTGCCCGGGCACGGGCTTGGCAAGGCCCAGCACACACACCCTCGTCCTCCCCGGGCCCTCCCAGACCCGGTGGTCAGGGCGCGGCACTGCGGCCACTCCCCAGTAAGAACAGCACAGGCTGCCTGAGCCCCTCCCAGCCTCCCCGGGAGCCGCTGCGTCCTCTGCAGCTGTGCCCAGTCTACAGATGGAACAACTGAGCCCAGAGAGCTTCCATGGCCCGCCCTCGGCCACAGACAGGTAAAGACCGGCGAACCTGCCCCAACCACTGCACACGCCTGCCGGGAACATGGCATCCAAGGACGGGCCAGGCAGAGGCGAGGGCAGAAGCCGGCCCCCACTTCCCGCCCTCCCACCTGCCACTGTCAGGAGCGCAAGCCCCTCAGCCCCCACAGCACCCTGGGAAAGCCAGCATTCGGAGGCAGACACACCAGCCACGTGTGTTCTCTGCACATAGACATGTGGGAGCACGCAGCAGAGGACCAGGGACAGCAAAGGAGGCGGCCACGTGAGCGCCCCTTGCGGGGCGGGGTGGGGGGTGGATAGACAACGCAGCCTGCGGTCTGGAGAGACCGGGCCGCATATGCAGCGCCCAGCTCGGGAGCCCCAGTCCCGCACCAGGACCATGCACGTGCGGGCGGTGGTCAGGAGGCAGGGAAGCCCCTCTGGGCAGACTCCAGCTTCCAGAGCCGTCCTCATGCCGGGCCTTGGCCTCGGCCCCTCCAAGGAGGGCCCCAGGAGGAGTCAGAGCAGAGAGGGCCCCGCCCGGACGCCTCCCCCCAGGAAGGAACTCTCCACCCAGGACCCCCCACCCCTGCTGGGCAGGCTGGACCTGGGGCCGAGCGCCACGCCCCTCCCTATTGCGCAAGTCTGACCCCCCGCTGCAACAGCCCTGCACAAAGTCTCCCCCATTGCTGGAACAATGGCAGCGTCAGTTTTTCTTTAATACATTCCCCATCATGCTCCAGGAGAAGCCAAACATCAACAAATTATATGTTCCCCAATCGCCAAGTACACCTGATTTGAGAGGCGTTAAGTGTTTCAAAAAAAAGAAGAAAGAAACAACAAACAAGAAAGGAGGCGGACCTCACGCAAGATTAGTTCCGTCTGCCTAGAACACGCAGTCATACGGTGAGTGGCAATCGATTAGTGATGTCTGACACGGGTATGGCTCCACAGAGAACAGGACTGCAGGTGACTTAGCTTCCTCCTGGCATCTACTTGTAATTTTCCCAATTTTTTACAAAAATCGAGTCTGTCTTTAGTTGTCTGGGTTTTCATTTTAAAGCCGTTATTTTTGCTAAGGGGATCAGAAAGGACATTGGGTGGGTGTGTTAACGTATCTGTTTCAGGCCCTACACGACACGAAGGCGAGAGGCTGGGGGCCTGGGGGTGGCACAGCGAGTGTGATGGGGACCTCAGAAGCCGGACGCGTTGCGGGGAGGGCGTCCCGAGCAGCTCGGCGTGGCAGCAATCGGCGGCAGACGGGGCCGGCGCGGAGGTGCAGTGGTCGGCCCCCACTCCCGAAGCTGGTCGGAGTCCCGGCTGCTCCACTTCCCATCCAGCTCCCTGCCAATGCACCTGGGAAGGCAGTGGAGGATGGCCCAGGTGCTAAGGTCCCTGTCACATGGGAGACCAGGATGGAGTTCCAGGCTCCTGGCTTCGACCTGGCCCAGGCCTGCCTATGCGGGTATTTGGGGAATGAACCAGGGGATGGATGATGTGTGTGTGTGCATGTGTGTCCTGTCTCGTCCTTTGCTCTTTCAAATAAATTAATTAAAAAGAAAAAAGCTGTAAGACGCAGCTGTAAGGCTGGGTCCCTGTTACTCAACTCCTTTGAGCCTCAGCTTCCTCGTCTTTGAAATGGGTGACTGACCCTGAAGGAAGGAGGCCTCCGAACCTCCCAGACCAAGCCCCCGTCTCGCCCCGGGGATCTGCCCGGAGACCGAGGCAGGAAGGGAGGAGCCCTCCCCGCCGGCGTCCAGCACAAGACACCAGGTGCTTGCGAGCCCACGTGCGGGAGAAGGAAGCAGAAGCAAGGGTGAGGAGGGGAGGGGAGCAGGCGCACACGCAGAGGTGTGAAAGGAAACCAGCGGGCTCTGCAGCTGCCGGAGACCGACAGTCCCGTCCCCGGAGAGGCTCCCGGCACGGCGCCTTCCGTTGCCAGCTGGGCGGGAGAGGCACGTGGCACGGCCTCAGTTTCCCAGGTTCAGGAGCATCCGGGCGGGCCATACTGCGGGTGTCCACCTGGTCCCCACCCCAGGGCTTGATGTCGGTGCCGGGGGCTGAGCCCAGGACACTCCCCAGGGATGCCTGGAAGCTGTCCAGGAAACAGCCCGACAGAAGCTGGCCAAGGTGGGCACAAGGCATCCCGGGAACCTGAATTCGCCCAGGCTGGAAGCCCTCGGCCTCATCTCAGGGCAGGGCCCCAGGTGACAGCCACAGCGACACCCGGCGCCTGTAAACCACCTACTGCGCGCACCTGCCGCTGAAGACTTCCTTTCTATTAATTAGCGGATCCTGCAGCACCCCGCGAGGCGGCTGCCATGGTAACCCCAGCAAGGAGGCATGGCAGAGCCGGGAGCGGAGGCTAGGCAGCTTCCCGCGGGGGGACAGGCGGGGGCAAACCCAACCTGGGGCGGGGGAGAGTGGCCCGGCCTCTCCACGTGTGTCCAGGGCTGCTGCACAAAGCGGGCAGGAGGCTGAGCACGCCCGGGCGGCACCAGTCCGGCCTCCGTGGCCTTAGGAGCTGGAAACGGGGGCTGCTGGTCAGCAAGTCCCTCAAAATCCTCGGGCGACCGTGGACAAGCCGCTTTCCGGGAGCAAGCCCAGTGGGTGCCTCCCCGGCCAGGCCCCGAGGGGCTGGGGCAGCTGGACCTGGGACGCTGGGTCTAGATTCTGGGGACGGACGAGCAGGGGCTGGAAGGATTCTCCCCGTGGCTGGGCTGAGAGAGGGGTGCTCACCCCAGAAGGGGTCTGGAAAAGGCCTGGGGGCACGGGCGCAAAGGAAGAGCCCAGCCCTTCCCTGGACCTGGCCTCGTGGGCCCTCCCGGAATGATGGAGCTACTGCCACAAGCACGCCCACCTCTGGGCCTTTGCACGTGCCACACCCTCAGCCTGGTGCCGCCCTAGCCAGACGTCCATGAGCCTGGCCCTTCCTCTGCCTTTCGGTGCCAACCCCAACGCCGGCGTCTCCGCGAGGCTTCCTCCCCACTGCCCTCCCCGACTTCGGCTCTCTGCTCCCCGTGAGAACACGCTGATCTGTTTGTTCACTGCTGCGCTCCCGGGGCTTAGAAGAGGACATGCGGTGCCTGCTAAGTACCGGCTGAACAAATCAAAGAATCTCCCCCACGCGAGGCTCCCAAACCATCCCTCACGGCCTCTCCAGGGTGCAGCCCAGCCTGGAGCTGCAGGAGGGGCCAGAGACCCCCCAGAGGTCCTCAGGACAGAGTGGAGGCCCCGACTCTCGTCTCCCCCACTGCAGGAGAGGCCCACAAGGCTGCTGCCCCAGCGACGCAGGCCTACAAACCCTCGGAGCTGCACCTGCCGCAGCGTGCACGTGCACGGCCCGCACACGGGCTGCTGAGCTGGGCCCCGGCCAGTCCCCGCGTGGGCACAACAGCCTCTCCTCTCGGTTCGGGACAAAGGCAATGAAGCAGGCTGGTCCTTTCCACGGAGAGCCAGGCAAACACTCACCCCAGGCAGGAGGCAGCAAACCAGGCCCAGGGCCAAAGCCAGGCACAGTCCAGCATCCAATGCAACTGGCATGTGGCCACGCCCACCCGTGGCCGCAAGAGCGTTTTGCCGCCCCTGCCATGGGCGAGCCCCCAGGGATCACACAGCCGGGGCTCCTGCCTCCTCCCTGTCCAAGCCCCCCCGGGATCGTCTCCGACCCTGCACACAGCCGGGGCTCCTGCCCCCTCCCTGTCCTCCCGAGGCTCAGGCCTCACAAAGACGGCAGCTCGCAAGCCGCACCCTGCCCAGCACAGGGGCCAGTGGGAAGGCCCGGGCGGTGGGGGCTGCCGTGGGCGTCCTCCACCCAACAGACCCCAGCGTGCACCTCCTCTGGCCCTGGACACAGCCCAGGAGGACAAGAGCCCTCCTCGGGTGCCCAGAACCGCGTCCCAGCCTGCCTGAGTGGCAGGCGAGGGAGTCTGGGGCGGGCACAGGGGAGCAGGCCTGGCGGCTGCCCACACAAACACAGAACACTCTAGCCTGCAGCTTCCCCTGCTCACCCCTGACCTCAGCCTCTGGCCCGGAGAGGGCAGTGGCCGCTTGGTCCTGGCCTACCACGTCCTGCGTCACTGAGGGCCCAGCTGAGGAGGGGAGCGGCGCCCACGGGCTGGAGGCTGGGCCAGGGCGCAGGGCAGGAGAAGACTGAGTCCGTGGGGCCGCTGAAGGCGTCTCGGAGTCTGGAGAGGGAGCCGCTGCTGCCCCACTTTATGGATGACAAAACTGAGGCCCAGAGAGGCTAAGCCCCTCAGCCGCCCACGCTAGCACACCTGCCCTGCAGTAACCACCCCTGTGACGAGCACTCGGGGTGACCATAGGGCTGATGAGGACAATACGTGACAACTGTGACGGCAATCCCGCTACGCTCGGTCCTTGGCCCCGGGCACACAGGCACGTGGACAAGGAGCTCGGCACGGCTTCGGCGGAACCTGCCGCCTGTGACGTAAGCTGAGCCTCAGTCGCCACGCGTGCACAGGGCAGGGGTGGGGGGCTGTCGTGGCTCCATTCAGGGTGCACTCCCCACACAGCGACCCCCAATGCTGGCACCTGCTGCAGCAGCCTCTACAGGGCGCCCAGGGCCCCCACACTCAGCAGCCTCTACAGGGCGCCCAGGGCCCCCACACTCAGCAGCCAGGGCGCCCTGGACTCCCCAGGGCCGGACCCCAGAGTTCACAAGCAAACAACCCGCTCACAGCCGAGGGCATCCCACCCTACTTCCTCCCAGAGACTCACAGGGAGCAGCCACACCAGCCACACGCTAAGCCGACACGCGTGCACACACACATGGAAAGGCCCCCCCATGCCACTTCCTCCAGGCATCTCACAGGGAAGGGCCGATGCAGGATACACGCATACACACGCCCGCACACGCAGGCGCACATGCAGGCCAGCGGGGTCAGCGGCCGCCTCAGCCAGGCCTCCCCTCCCCGTGCTACGTAGCCAAGAGGTCAAATGGGGGAGAGTCAGGGCTCAGAGCCCTTTGGCAAGTACCCAGGAACACGGCAAACAGTAGGAACTAAATAGATGCCAGCAAGTGGACCCAGAGTGTTCCCCACCCCCTCCCCTGGTCACACCACACAGCAACGGTGAGGCAGGACACAGGGGCCCCGCTGGACAGCAGAAGAGGGCGCGAGTGAGGAAGCCGGCGGGCACCCCCCGGGCCCCAGGTCAGCAGCCAGGACACGGCACAGCCTGGGCCTCAGCGCCTTAGGAGGATGTGACTGGAGTCCCCTGGGAAGCCACCACCATCCAAAAGCCTGGGGGAACCAGGTGTATACAACAGGCGCTCCACACTTGAGTGTGAACTCAAGAAGGAGCCGGCCGCAGCCTCTATCGTCCCAGCTTTAAAATGGGAGGAAGGAGACGTGACCACGTGCTCCTGGGCCTGGGAAAGACCCTAAGACACCAGCAGCCTCTGGGGAGGCGTCCCACGTCGGAGCCACGGCAGCCACGTCCCAAGGAGAGGAACCCAGAGGAGGGAAGAAGGCCCGGGGGTGGCCCCAGGCGCACACATGCACCCCCTTACCGTGTGGGGCCGGGCGATCTGCACCGGGTAGGAGATGCCGTGGGGTGGGTAGCGGGGCTCCGTGGCCCTCCACGTCTGTGCCACAGGCTGTGTGGACCCTGACATGGCGACGGGGATCCAGGGGTGGGGACTGGAGGCCCCGATGAACTCTCAATCAGCAGCAAGGACTAAACACCAGTCCTCGTCATCTGCTCCCACGCTGCCACACCACAGACACCTGCGGAAAGAACAAAGAAGCAAGATCAGTCCTGGGGCCACTGGCTCCTCCCGAGCCCCCAGGGAGCGCCCCACGTCACAGCCTGCCTGGACCCACTTCCCTCTGCGGGTGCCTGCTCACCAACAGCACGGAGAGACAGGCTGCGGCCTTGCAGAGCCGGCCAGCAGAGGCCACCCGAGCCACATGGCCCCTGCCCAGCAGGCATGGGAACCCCGACGCGGTGGGGGCCCCCTCCAGATGGTGCCCAAGCCCCCTGGAGCACCCACCCTCCCTGCCACCACGGCTCCCAGGGCTTTCCAAGCCTCAGGACAAAAGTCTCCGACAGCACCTGCCGGCTCGGACGCAGGTACTCGGCCGTCCCGAGAAGCAGGGCCAGCAGGGGAGGCGCACACAGTGACCTGGGCGGTGGCGGCCAGGACCAGTGCAGGCACAGGTCACAGCATGACCCCAAGCAAGGCCAGGCCGCATGGGCCTCCCTGTTACCCTCAGCAGGAAGATGACGTAATCAATGGCGTGGGATGGATCAGACACGGGGTTGGCCCAGCAGCCAGCCACAGGTGGAGGGATCAGGACACCGAGGGCCATACACGGAAGCAACTGAGGGCAGGACAAGAGCTGGGGCGGGGAGGGAGGGCCCCAATCAGCCCCCCAGGGCACACAAAGCTGCCTCGCAGGGAGAGCAGCACCCACGGCCACACTGGGCAGAGCTGCAAGCTGTGGTCCACTGGTGTCATGGTGGGAGACCCTGAAGGAGGGAGGGCTCAGACCCTCTAGGCTCCCACAGCCCTCCTCCCGGGCCTCTGCTCCAGGGGCCACGCTGGCCCCCGTCTCCCTCTCCCCACTCTGGAAAAGTGTGAGTACAGGGGACCCTGCCACCTGCAGACTCCTCGTCACCCCCCACATCCCCGCCCCCAGAGCCCAGCACCTGGACACGGCGATCAGAGAGGAAGGCCGGGGCAGGGGTAATTAGGGGACCAGAATGCTCCCCAGCTCCCCGCAACAGCATCACGACGCCCCTGCCCTGAGCTGGGCACTGCCCACTCCCGGGGTGGGCATCCTGGTCATCAGCTGGCCAGGGAGCGCTGCGGCAATGCTAGGTGGCAGGAGTAAGAGGTGGTGGCCCCAGGGCCATGGCCATGTCCATCCTCCCCCCGCCCAGTGCACACTTGACTTTGCTTTCCTCCCCAGGCTCCAGGACAGTCACATGATCCTGGCCTGGCCAATCAGCTTCCCATTCCCCACCCCCAGGCCAGCAACTGGTTAGGAGGTGAGCATGTGACCCAATGGGAGCCAATGAGAGTCAGTCTTGAGGCTTCTGCTGGCAGCACCAGGAACCAGGCGCTCTCTGCTGGGAGACCTACGCTGGGAGCCTGCCCAGGAGCAGTGCCAGCCGGCGGGAAGGCAGAGCTAACGGTGCACGGGGAGCGCCATCTGTGCTGACGCCAGCCTGGCTGGAGGCAGATCAAAGCCTGCTCGCGGCACTCGGGGCCGGGCACTGCTGCCGGGGATCTGGCCCCACCAGCCCAAGCTGGGTTTCTGTCACTTGCCACCCGGAGCCCCGACTCCCACTTGCACCCTGTGCCTGCTGCTGCGGGAAGCAGCCACGGGGACACGGTGGTTGGGGCACAGGTTCCAGCTCCCCCGGCACGGCTCTGGGCCTGGCTGGCTTCCCGCCCCCAGGGAGGCCACTGCCCACTCAAAGGGGTCCCCACCCTGTGTCCTCGCGAGGCCGTTGGGGACCAGGTGACTGGAGGCTTCCTTCACACACCGCAAGCCTCTCTATGCCCAACCTCCACCCCCTAGAACCTGATACAATGTTGCCAAACCAAAAAAGGGGGGGGGCAGACAGTTTGGCAGATCCTTCAAATCTTAAACACAGTTACCACGACCCCGACAATTCCACTCCTAGGCAGAGACCCAGAAGACCTGAAAACAGGGTACAAACAGAATACCTGGATGTTCAGCACGGCACAGCTCCCGGCAGCCAGGGAACTGCCACTCAGCCACAGAGGGAACCGAGTTCAGACACCCGCCGCAAAGGCAGGCGCGAAACGAGCCACAGGGACGCCCAAGGCACGGCTCCCCGGCGTGCTCTGTCCACAGCAGGAACGCGCACGGGGCAGAAGGTGGGGTCCTGGCTGCCGGGGCGGGTAAAGGAGCGGCAGCGAGACGGACAGTGAAGGGCGCGTGCGGAGGGTGCACCACACGGGACGGGAGAGAATGAAGCTTCGACTCTCCACGATCAAGGTGGGGCAGGAATGCCGAGGGGAAACGGCGGCGTGACCTCCTCATAGGCAGGGTGCCGGAGGCCAAGGGCACTGGGCCGGGCCCTGAGGGTGGGGTCCAGCAGGAGGAGGGATGGGGGTGCTGTCCTCTGGGGGTGTAGTCTGGGCCAGCGCTCCTCCCCCGCAGACCCGTCAGCACCCCAGCCTGGCCCCAGCTCAGGTGCTGGAGGCTTGATGTGACCCAGACAGGGCCAGGCCCCAGACAGATGAGGCCAGTGACCACCGAGAGTGAAGGCTGGGGACTCTGGAAACCTGAGTCCACCCCAGCCCCAGGGCAGCAGGAGACAGCCAGGGAGACGGGAGGGGAGGCGCTCCAGGCACAGGATACCCCTGAGCACCCAGAGGCGAGACCAGGAGGCCCCTCCGAGAGGCCCGCTGAGGGGAGTGGGGGCAGGGCAAGGGCCATGGTGTGGCCAGGTCTTGCTCTCAGAGCCACGGAAGGGGGGTGACGGGGACGGGCAGAGGGCTCCACAAGCAGGCACTGTGGGGAGAAGAGGGAGAGGGATCCAGAAGCGGCAGAGGCAGGAATGCCGGGCAGGCGCCGACTCTGCAGCTCCGAGCCTCAGCTGCGGACTGGCGCCTAGAGATTGGACCCTGGCCCGAGCGAGGTGTCTCGTGAACAGCAGGTGCTCAACGAGGCTGGCGCAGCAAGGCTGGGAAGACAGCAGTCCCGTGAGAGTGAGGAGACTGGTGCCCAGCCACCCTCTGCAAAGTCAAGCCACAAACCACAGCACCAGAGCGACCCGCCGCCCATGAGTCATATGATGGCCACTGCAAACGCTGGCCCACAGTGAGGGGTCTCCCGGCCACAGCCCAAGCTGACCGCCTGGCCACCCCACAGCCCTCCCCAAGGCTGGCCCCCAGCGTCCTTGTGTGCCTTGCTTCTGGCTGCATCCTGGGATCTCCCGCTGGGTCTGGCACACAGTAGGCACTCAGTGCACGCATTGTCCATCAGAGGCACGGGCCAGCAGCCACCACACCTGCCTCCGCCAGCCCCCGCCCCACCTGGGAGCCCTGGGAGCTTTCTCGGGCCCTCGGGCTCCACCTTCCTCCCCCACCCCCGCAGGACAGCCAGGACCACGGCGCTTGGACACACTCCACAGATCTCCGTGCCACCAGCAGCGGTCTGGGTCGGGGGAGGTGGAATTCCACAGGGAGCGGCGGGTGGGGGCCGCGGCGCGTTCAGCCTGCAGCTGCCAGGACACGGAAGGCAGCGGAGCCGTCTGCAGCAAACGTGCCTGAAATTTTCTCGGAACTAATGGGCACTGACATTGAACTTGCGGCAGGTGGGAGAGCCTCAGCATTAACAATCAGGCGGCACCTGCACGCTCGACAGAGCCCTCCCGGGGTGGGAGCGCCACAGGCCCTGGAGGTGCCCCATCACCACGCACTGGGCGGCTGCACCCAACAGGACTCTCGTGTCCTGGTTCCGAAGGCAGTGCTCCCTCGGAAGACCCTGGGGTGACCTCATGGCCGCTCTGGCTTCTCACGGCTCCCGCTCCCTCGACGTCCCCCAGCTCCCACCTCTGCCTGGGCCCCTAGGGCTTGTGCCCCTGTGTCCTCCCATCCGTTAATGACACTGGGCGGGCCTGTGCGTGCAGAGCCCACCGTAACCCAGGCCGACCCCCCCGGGAGAGGATACCTGCAAAGCCTCTTCCAAGGCAGGCCCCATTCACAGGACAAACTCACGTCAACTGCACGGGCGCCCAACAAAAACCACTGTGAACGCCTGCTTTGCTGTGTTCACGGCTGTGCCCCCAGGGCCCGGCCCCTCGTACACATCCCACCCCTATTCAACCCCCAGGAGCACCGCAGGCTGCCGGGCACAGGATAGGGCAACACAGCTGCCCCCAGAGAGCCCTGCAGGCACAGGCCTGATTCCCCGCCCCCAGGGACCAGCTCGCGGGGTCCTCGCCTGCCTGGCTCCCGGGGTCCTCGCCTGCCTGGCTCCCGGGGTCCTCGCCTGCCTGGCTCCAGACTCAGAGGTAGAACCCGTCCTGGGCTGGAAGTCAAGACACTGCAGAAATGCCAGCTACGGCACCTGGGCCCTGACACCTCGCCATGTCAATGTTCAGCACTGTAAAAGCCGGGGAAGCCGCCAGGTGCTGGACGGCCACCCTCAGCAGGGACGCCGGGTGCTCAGCAGACGCACAGAGGCCTGGCTCTCGAGAGCGTCCCAGCACACAAAGTCCCCGGGACGTGGCCGGTGTGCGCTGCAGCCAGCCGGGCCCGAAGGAGCGCCCACAGGGACACAGGCAGGGTGCAGAACGCCTCCTGCCCGCCAGGGCTTGCCCCTGCCTGTGTCCACCGCGATTTCCAAGTGTCGACTGTGTGACAGGTGCTGGGACGAGAGTAACGGACCCCGCTTCCTGCCCTCGCGAGGCCAACATCCCAGCAGGCGAGACGGGATGGTCACGGGGTGTTAGAGGGCGCCAGTGCTGCAGGGAGAAGTCGAAGTGGGGGAGGGCGGGCCGGGGTGGGGGTGCGACTTCAGAACAGGTGGTCAGGGCAGCCTCCCTGGAAGAAGCTGTTGATGCCAAGATGTGGAAGAGAAGAGGCAATGGTGCAGGTGTCGGCAGGGGACCAGCAGGCGGGACTGCGCCCAGTGTGGGGAGACCACGACAGTGAGGGGAGGGAACAGAGGCTGAGGGCCCAGACCGGTGAGCTCCTGGGGGGGTCGCTGCGAGGGACGTGGGACAGCCACAGCAAGTGCAC